AGGTGATGCTTTAAACTGGAAATCGGAAAGGAGAATTGGACTGTCTACAAAGTGCTATATTAGAATGTCCTTGTACAAACTGATGTGACATGGTTGGAATATACCTGTGTTAGGATAGCTTCAGAAATCTTTTATACTAAGTGCAGTGCTCAAGGAGGCATGAGCTGGAAGGCTGAGGTGAATTTTTATTAAGTAGACATACAGAAATGTTAGGTATTTTACAGAAACTGGAATATTTACTATTGTGTGTTTCTTTTCTAACTGCTGTGAATTACAGAACTTTACATGATTCTATCATATTTCTTCATTTCCTCTTTCCAACTTCAAGCAATTCACAAACGTTTATGCAGTCTATTGCAATGAAGCCATTCCCCCTTCTGCCTCCTTGCACAAGCCCCTTGCCGTAGAGGGAAGGAAGGATCAGAAAACCTTCCACAAAATCCACAAAATGGTATAGGTGTGGCTTGGTAAGGAAATTTACTTGTGGACCTAGCACCATGTCCTGTAGTTAGGATATACCTGGCTTTGCTTCTAGTCGCATCCATCCCTTACCTGAGACTCATAAATAAAATAATCTAGATGAAGTCAAAGAATGTTTATTATCTTCTCTTCTCTGTTTGCATATGCTTATGTCCAACATTGTGTGATTCGTAGGCAATTTTATTGGGGGAGTTTTATTTTCAGATATTATTGCTTATGAAAACACCATGCATGGATTCCAAATGCATTTGCAGAAAAGAAATGCAATAATAAATATTCTGTTGCAGCAGCATAAGGGAACAGATCCCATGACAATGACATCTCCCACAGGAAATATGTTAGCTAATCATAGGAGTTTCTGTGAGAGACTTGTTCTGATGGGGATTTTTGTGGTTGCCTCTGAAGTGCTGCATTTTGGTATTCGATTAAATTAGTGGCATATGATTTATAGGTACATGAAACAGTTTACTGTCTGCTTATGGTACTTAAAACTGAAGTAGCCCTTTTCAGATTATAAAACCTGGTAGGGAATTTATCCAATAATTATAAGATTGAATTATTTCATCTGTGCCATCCTGTATTCATAGGAAACATGCAAAACAGCCTTAACAGCTTTTAAAGTTATATTTACTCTTCGTTCTATAGCTGATACAATGCTGCAAACAAAATATAGATTTTAAGTGCTCTATATAGGTCTAGCGATTTTGCCTGACATTTGAAATGTTACTATGATCCCTCAAGTGGATAAGAATTTCACCCCTCATCTCCACAAATACATGTAAATGCATGAGACTTTTTGCAAAATGAGCTATTTAAATTCTTAATCTTTTCTGTAATTGCTACCCAGTAAATGTGGATTACTTTTTCAATTTCTTTAGAGGGATTCTGCTTTTTATGACACATAGATCTCATCTACCTTTAAAAGGATAGTGGTTTTGATTGGATTTGGAAAGGTTAAGTAAAATTTGCACACTATGCTGCTGTTTGTATAGGGGCATGTCTGCACATTTACCTTCAGAATAGCACTGAGTCCAGCATAAAAGAACAGGTACTCAGTATATTTGACAAATGAAGACATGAGATTATATGATCTCATGGTTCCGTAAATAGTGTATGATAAAGAAGATATTTTGCTTAAGATTTAAGAAATAAAAATTAGTCCCTTTTTTCACTTTAATGAATTACAGCTTCCTGAGATACTGCAGTTGTTTTTCTCCACCGAATGGAAGATGAGAAACAGAGGGCATTTTTTTTTTGTGCAGAGCTGGTTTAACGTATCCAATTAGATATGAGCAGAATATTATGCATGCTAAAGTTTTTCACACTCTGCACCATTAGTTCTTCGTGTAGATTTTGAGTGGTAATAGCTTGTCAGTTTCTGTTACCCACAAACTTCAAGGTGATCTAGCAGCTATGTGTTCGATGTGCAATTTTAACAATGGTGCCAATTGCTTCATTGAGATCAAGTAGCAGTGTGCTATTGAAATAGCAAACCCTGCCTCTATGAGTGTAAAATATTTCTCTGTGAAAGAATTTGTTACAGACCGAGTGAAGAAGGCTATAGGTGATGCTGAGCATTCAGTGCTGTCTAATCTGTGGTTGGAGTGTTCTGTCTGTCCATTTACGACGCTTTCTGAGAAAGCATTTAGCAAAAAAGCAGGAGAGAATATTGTCCAACAAAGTGTACTTACAGCATGGCCTGGGCAGGTTTTAGCTGTTTTCAGCTGTACCTAATGACTATTAACTTAGTAGTGCTTGTGTTTACATTATTTGGACAAAATAGTGGAGAGTCAGGAAATGTCATTCAGTGTTTCCATTGATTTCCAAACCATAAGTCAAGTGTCTTTACTAAAATACTTGGAAAGACTTGGAAACTTTCAAGGTCAGTTACTTTTTCCAGGAGCTACCACTAGCATCTTCATATCCATTTGCTGTCACCTGTTGAATACTAACACTTTGTCTTTTCAGATATTTTTATTTTTATAAATATTTTTATTATATTTTTATTTAATGTAGATAAAAATGAGCAGACTAGCATGAAGGTGAATCTCAAGCTTGTTTCAATTTGATTTTTGAATCAGAAAAATAAGTTTCACAAATTTTTGAACTCATGCATTAAGGTATAATCCTGTCAACTGGCTTTATTTAGTGTTACGTAAAGATAACTTAGTCTTTTGCTGGTCTTTGCTTTTTGTATTGCTGACCCTGCTTGGAGGAATAAAAGCTAAGTAACTCTTCTTCAGTGATGTGCCAATGAAACTAGGTCTCAGTACATTAAGCTTTATACTATAAATAGAAGCAGATAATGCTAAGGTTTATTTATGGTTTCTTGGACATATCCTTAATGGGCTTAAGTAATAAAACTTAAAAAAAAAGTGAATATACTTCATTGTTCTGGCACCACATCAGATTGCTTTTTTTCAGTTACGCTGGTGACATTCTGTAAGTGATTTCTCATGTGCTATATCTGAACATTAAAGAACTGTTGTATCAACATGCCAGGCTTTTTGTAGGTTAGCATTACCAGCCATTCAGATGGTGTTTTCAGTTCTCTATGTGGCATTCGTCCTGACTTGTAATGTTGTTTCTCCTATCTTTTTCTGCAAGTAAGTTTCTTTATGGTCATACTGAATAATGCATGCCACTTTTCTCCAGTGTAGTTCTACCTCACTGAAAAACATAGCCTTACTCTTACCTACTGATTTTTTATACTTAGATATGAATGTTTTGGGGTTTTGAAGTTGTTGAATTAGGATAGTAAAGTGCATTAATTTTCTATCTCTTGTATTGAAAAATAAAAAAATGTTCTGTGCTAGCAAATAGTTAAGTTAGATATGGTTTTGTACTTTCATGGTGAATTTATCTATTCATGATAAAACCAGATTCAGCTAAGCCAACAGAAGAGATTGTTTTGATTTTATACCCATGCTTAATGTAAGTTATATACAGCCTTTCTTTAGGGATACAAATTCCACATTGTGACATTAAGGTGATTTACTCAGTGTTAACACAATACTCTAGGGCCATCAGACCTTTAAAAACCGGTAGAAATACAAGACAGTTCTATTCAGAGCTCTGACTTTTGTACTTTCCAGCTTGAAAGGTAGTATCACAGAGGACTGTTAACTGAGTCAAGATAAAGATCAGTTTATAATGTGAAATTAAAAAAAAAAAACCCACCACTTTTTTAACTAATAATATCCTTGTCAAGCAGTCTTAGATTGGTTCATAATGCAAGAGATAAATTATCAGGCTGGGCCTGCGTAAAGGGAAGGAGAGTCTGAGGGATTTCTTCTTAATGTTCAAAGATTCCTTGTTGAATTCCCATTAGCCCTTTATGCAGTCGTCTCTGAACTCGGGCACTTAACTGTATCATGAGTATTCTTTGTGTTACTTTTATGTCTGGAATGTCATTCCTAACAAAAAATTAATAAATATCATAAAATTTAAACTACTACTCCGGAATATCTCACACGCTCTTGCATTTCCAGGTATTCTTAGCACTAGAGTTGATAAATAATTTGTGTCCATTGTACATTCAAGTGCACGGACAAGGTAGAATATATTGTGTTCCAATAAAATAGTGAAGGATACCACATTTTGTTCTTGGCATGGAAGGAAGGTGCAATATGGAAGCATTTTCATTGCTTTACTTCCAAAATATTTTGGCTTGCTGAAAGAATCCTATAAGAAGTCTCTAAATTATTATTTCTAAAAAAAACATAAAAATCGACCATTTTAGTTTTATTTAAATACTTTTCCACAGTGATTTGATTTGTGCTTTTTTGCTTTGTTTCATTTTTATAGTGAATTGAAAGCATAGAAGTCCTAATTTTGGACAAGCTGTAGGTGTAGTGGAGGTTTATGATGCAAATATATGAACATTTTACTTTGGCTCACCTACATTTTTTTCTACTTGCAGACACAGCTGTTATTAAAAAGCAGGGGATCTGAGTTTACAAGCTGAGGTCTTTTCCTGGCAATCTGAGGGTTCCTAAGCTTGTTCATGACTGGGGAAATTGTTATTGCCAGTATTTCAGAGAACACAGTTTATTTGCTGCAAATGAAATAGCAAGTTGTGGCTGGATAGTCTTAAAAATTGGATGTGTTTGTCATACATACATACAAACACTGTAATTACCACTGATACTTACCAGTGGTAAAATGAGTAGCAATCCCTTAAACAGTAAATACCTAATTTGATAAATTCTTCTTTCTTCAGTTACAAAACTAAAAAGTTAGAACAGTAATTTTCATGGATATTGTCGAATTGCCTTAAGGGAAAGTGCAGTACAGTTAAGGCAGTTTGTGTTAGATTATGTGTTTTAGTGCTCCTGAGATAATACAGAGAAGAATGAGGGGTCACGCACTGATGGCTATGTGTGCATTTATGTTCGGATGTGATTAGTTAATTCAGTGTGTTAATTCAGTGGAATTAGTTAATTCAACTCATTTTACTGCAGAAATACAGAGTGACCTGACATGATAACTGTTGGCTGGTTTTGTTTTTTTCTCCATAGTGTGCTGGAGAAGAGAATTGGGTGGACAGTCGAACTATTTATGTTGGGCATCGTGAACCACCTCCAGGCACCGAAGCATACATTCCACAGAGATTTCCAGATAACCGAATAGTCTCATCAAAGGTAGTAGTAATTTTTTTCATTCATTTACACAAATAAGCATGAATTATGCCAGTTTACATAAATCATGACTGGCAGAAATAAAATGACGGTATCTCAGGTTTTTTCCACAAAAACTAATTGCCAAATTGCCTCTAGCAGGAAGAAGAATGGGATGATTTGCAATGTTTACTGTAGTATATAGTAGTCTTAGAATGATACTGTGTGTTTCCACAATGGAGTAAAAAAGCAATTTTCATTTGGGGCAACCCTGGGGTAAGGAAAATCTTCCCAAGAAAAGACTACATCATTTGTAATCTAAAGCAATACCTCCAAGTACTAGAAGTAGTATGATGAATGTAAGTGCTCAACAAACAAAGCTATCTCCACAATAACAGTGCCATTCCCTTCAAAAACTTGTATTGACAAAACCCCATTGAAAGGATATTCATTGTTATAAACATGCAAGTGAATCATTCTTAAACTCTTGGTATTCTGATACAGTTGTGCCCTTTAGAAACCTTCCAGTTCTCCCTCACTTTAATTAGTAAATCTTTCTGTAAGATTCACCAGCTTTCTGTGCTCATTTGTGTTGTTGGTACTCTCTTACCTGTTTAGACTGACCGGCTTGCTTTAGCCAAAGGTTCATTCTGCAATGGCATGGAAAGCTGAACATTTGCAACTTATTGTGTGGCTGATACCCCAAGAACTTAAAGTTTTTAATGTACTTGAGTTTCAATCTTCATGAGTACACACCTTCAACCAATTATGAAATAATGAATTCAAAAGAATAGCTTTTTCTGGGAAAATGTCTTTGTGAACAGTAGCTGAGATCCACAGCCTCTTTTTAAGAACTTTCGTAGCATTGTGATCTCAAGGAACTGAGCACTTATCATTGCAGATCTGAACACTTACCATCCATTAATATAATGGCAAAGCTGTAATAAACCCCACGCTTTTGTCAAACTATGTCTCATTCCTTATGTGAAATTTTGTATTTTACTACCTTCCTTCACTCCTATTTTTACTACCTTATTTCTGTACTTCATTCAGAGACAGTATGACAACAAACAACATAGTATCTAGGTGTCTTTAATTAGAAAGTTTGAAATATAAAGCAGTAAATAATCCAGGTTGAATACAGTCAAGCTAGTACAATGGGAATCCTGTACTCGACACATCAATTGAATTGTCTTATGGATTACTGAAGAGTAAATACATTTTATGGAAATATTTCCACTCCTGTGATACTCTTTTTTCGTCTTGCACATCTTATCTGGGTCGTACATAAAGGTATTGAAGTTACTGCTGTCACTTCTTGAAATAAAAACATCTTGCTCAACTCTGCAAGATGTTTGACATCTTTTTGTGATGATGTTAATAGTGGAGGTTTCAAGTTACTGTGCTTGGCAGAGTGAGTTTTTTTAAATATAACTTAAACCTGGATCAAGCTGAGGATCCCTGTCAGCAATTAGTAAATATGTATGATTTTGACTATTTCAGGAAGAAGACTTCACTATATTTTTATTTAGACATGAAGCATGTTCAGTTAAATGGTAGACTCTTTATTTGTGAATGGTATCTGTAATCAGAATTCCACAAATAAAAGATTATTAATGGATATGTTTTTATATGTACAGTGCTTCTCAAATGTTCTGTTTATTGATTAAATTTCTCACACTTAAAAAATAAGATGGCGTCTTCATGAAAGTAAATACAGTGGTGATATTTCAAGAGGGAATAGAGTTCATGTAAATGCTTTATAATATTAAATAGTTCCTTAGACTGCCAAAAAATCAGTTTTAATGACAGTTGTCTTTATATGAGAACTTTCCATGCTGTCCCTTTCAAGTAAACTCTATTACTCACATGCTCCATCCCAAACAGCCAAAGGTCAAAGCATCATTGTGACTTGACCAGCATTTATTCTATGATTTTATGATTCTGTTCTAGGTTGTGTAAGCTTCTAACTCTTAACATTTCATTCTGTCCTTGTCACTTGCTCCTTTATGAACACTCTGGAGGAGCATCTACCACAGCTTTGGAAACATAGACATAAGCTTCCTGAAAAATGATCAAATGTAACAAAATTAAGATGGGAAAGTCATAACTGTTAGTGTAAAATACACATCCACACAAGCACACTGTATAATGTTACCTCAGCCATGAAGGGTATTTGCGTCATCTTTCATCAGTGAGACAGTAACTATCAGTTGTGCTTTTATAGGTCTCTAATGCTTAGTATATGATTGTTCTTCAAGGATGAGGAACTCTGAATTTCCAGGTACAGATTTTTTGCCAATTTAAAACAAATTGAATTCTGAAAAGGGTAGTTTAAAGCCATGTTGAAACCTCATCAATTAGTCTGTCTGTATGCTCCTGTACTAACAAATGTTCTGTCATAAAGACTTTTTTTTCTGAAAAAAGTGGCAGCTCCAAATAATATGAACCTCAGACTTTCTATAGTTATTTCCTTCCAAAGGTAAACTTTACTGTGCTTCACCAGAGGTTTCCTGGTGTCAGCAAGATAATAATTTTATTCCAGTACAGAGGGATATTTCTTGCATGTTGTAGTATCACTATGGAATGTGGTTAATTCTTTGTCTGCTTAATGACATATTCCTGGTTGTGAATATGATATATAGACAGACCTTGGCCAGACCAAATGCTCTTTTGGTTTGATGCATTAATTCAATTACGATTTTAACAATGTATTTCAAAAAGGCTCTGTTGGAAAAAAAAAAAAAAAAGCCAAAACCTTGTGTCTTTTGGACTGTACATGAAGTTTGCTTATGTTCTAAAGATAGTGGCCTTTGTAAGCTGAATATGTATGTTCATCTAACTTGTACTTCAGCTGAATAGGGTGATAGCCTTCAAAGTAGCTGTTGTGTGCCCTTCATTGAATTTATCATATGACAGTGGTGCAGCATGGCAAAATACCAGCTAGTACAAAATCCTAATGTTTCATATGAGAGGAAAGAAAAAGTAATTGAATTGGCAGGGAGGTTGCTTGCTTTTTTTCTTTAAAAAGTATTCACATTTTGAAATTATTTGCTGAGTAGTAGAACTTCTATGTCAAAAGGAAATTAAGTTAAACCTTGAAGCAGTGGCAGTTAATGGAACTTGATAGGAAAGAACTTTTCTTCTTCTTAAATTGGATAATGAAAGTTGGTTTGTTTTTTTTTTTATGTAATAGCATGTTTGGGTTTTTTTTTTTTGGGGGGGGGGGATGTTTGTTGTGGGGTTTGTTGGGGTTTGTTTTTGTTTTTTAAAGCTGATAAATTACAAAGTAACTTTTTTAATATGAAACTTCCTTAAGGAAGGTCCATGCTTCATATTTATGTGCTGGGAGTATCCCAGTCAGCATGGTAAACTGAGTGTCTGTACCTGGATAGTAGCGCATGGGTGTGCCTGACCAGCTAAGAATGACCAGAGGTCCATCTGGCACGCTACGCTGTCACCAGCAGTAGATGCCTAGGGAAGAATGCTAGAACAAATAAGAGCTGAGACTGATTAAATATATCAAAGAACACAGGAAGTTAAACAAATTATGTTTAAAAAAAAATTTATAAATATAATTGTAAAGAAATTGTCAAACTTTTGATCAGACCTTTTTCAGCTATTCTGTTCAAGTGGGATGTATGTATGTAAGAGATACATAAAACATGATACTTATGTTGTTTAAATAGCATAATAATATATAAGGCATTATTATATATTAAATGGTATGTGCATGTATATGCACACACATACAGAGTCCAGTTGTTAAGCTGGCACCTTTAGAATATATTGTCTCTTGGTAGTTGACATGTACTATAAAAATCTGTATATTAAAAATATTGGTCACAATGCACATGTTCAAGTTTTGTGTATGTGTCTTGATCTGTTAAAAACATTGAAAAACTTAAGTGACTGCAAGACTACTGTTCAGCTTTTATCTGTCCTCCCTGAATTTATTATCCTCAAGATGGATTCTCTTTTGCAGAAGGTTTAAGAATCGGCATAGCAAAATGTCTGCAAACCAGGGCTGAAGTAACATAGTAGGTATTTTCTTCAGAATGGTTTTAAGCATTTACAAGTAACATTTGAAGAAGCTGAGGGAAAGGAGTGGAAGCAGGTTAGAAGAGAGCGGGTGACGTTTTAAAACAAATAAAGTGTAAGAAGCTGAAGTGTTGAAAGAACTCAGTAATCCAATATGGATTGCTTTTTTTCCCTTGTAGCTCCAGCTTTTGATGTCAAGTGGTTACTGAAACTCTCCTTTTACTTATGATATTATCTGCCTCTTAGGATGGAGAGAAGCTTGAAATGTGAGTCAAAATTCTGGCTTACAGATATCAAATTAAAAGGTCAAAATAATGTTTAAAAAAATTAAGCTATTGTTAAGAAGACCCTGTTTTATATTTTTGAATTCATGGGACTGGCTCTAACACGGAGACGTTGGAGCTGAAAGCAGTAAGGCTTTAGCAAAGAAGATTCAAGAATTGGTGAGATGGAGCAGAGGCATAGTGGAAACACTGTGGAAGTGTGCATAAAGAGGTCAGCACATAATTACACAAGTACACCAGCAATGCAGGTGCTATTACTGTTATAAATGGGAAAAAAAAATCTAATTGAATTGTGCAGTTTTGACTCCAGGCAGTCTGATTTTACATTTCCTTGTACAGTGCTTCAGATGCATCTGTTCACACAGTGTGTTTGTCTCTTGGATGGATACGTAACTACTTCTTGCTGTCTGACATATTGCCTTCTGTATGCAAAAGGCATGTATGTTCTCTGACCTCTAAGTTTTTTGCAGCAATTTAAAAAAAAAACAGTTTCCAACCTAAACCTTCAAACCTTTCCCAGCCTAAAAGCTTCAAGTGTGTAACTATTTGGCTAACCTTATTTTCTTCAAGTGAGTTATACCGGGAAAAAAAAGTAGTTAAGTATCAGTTTGCAAAAAGCACAACTAGAAATTAGCTGAAGAAAACTGGTATTAACTCTGTATGTAGGCACAGTAATCTGCTGTATTTAGTAACTTCATTTTTAATGTCTTTTCTTCAAAGACTTTTATTTTGTTCATGCCTAATGAGGGTAGAGAAACTGCCTTGAATGCAGTTATTAAATCAGTCTTATTCTGGGTGGCAGCCCACTGTTGTTTCTCATGGGAGTGATTATGGTGGTTAAACATTAATCATCCATTTGTAGATACTGGTCAGAGCTCTTGATGGCTGGGGCAGAGTGAGGTCTGTCTAGATACCTTAGTGCTCTGTCTGTCTTGCCTAAACCCCTTCAAAAATTGTTACTTCTACTTTGAAGGTGAATGGACAGAACAAAGACATACTTTGTATGTCTGAAACCCAACGTAATAAAGTGCTAAAAGTCTGTGAGGTTGTTTGAAAATAAAGTTTTAAGTCGTCTACTGTATTAAAGAAGCATCCATTTTAAACAACACCTCTCAGACCATAAAAGTGATCTAATTCCAGGTAATTCACATTTATTCAGGTAAGAGAGTTGCTGACCAAAGGTGGAGCTGTGAGAAAGACCACTGCTTTGACAGAAAGAGCCTGAGGTTGGAAAATGAGGGGATTGATACTAAGGGTACAGATGAACGTTCAACCTTTTGATAGATTGTTTTAACTAATTTACTTCCTCATACTAGATTTCAAATATCTAGTCTGACAACAATATGCTGTCACCACACATTTAGTCAAATAACCTGCTAGGAGATTTAAACAGGAAGTTCTTGCATAAAAGATTAAATTTTTATATTATAAATGGTGAATTGGGGAGCTTGTATAAATCATCACATTTTAACAGTCAAAAAACCCTCTAATGTGGAAGAATATTTTATCAAAATAGCTAAGCAGAAAATTTAAACAAGTTTTTCACTGAAACCTCTATTCATTTTTTCCTTCTCAGCAGATGGAGATTTTTAAAAAATAAACAGAGATAATTTGCCTGATAACAAGTTACTGATGAAAATATAAAATTACTATCACTGAATAAAATCTGTATGGTCATATATCACAACAGCAGCTTTGAATGACTTTTGTGCAAGGAAAATAATCAAGTCTAACCAGTTCTCTTTCAAAATTCTAAGATAAGTAGCTGGGTAGTGGACAGTGCAAGCAACATTCCAATCTGATGAAAAGTACTTGATTGCAAAGTGAGAGCACTTGACTTTCCAGCATGGGTGCCTGCCTGAGTTGTGGCTTGCTCACAGGTGATCTAATACTGAGGTAACTATTAAGCCGGCTGTTTACTGAGGGCATATTTAGACTAGATCCCAATTTTTGGCACATGACAGAAAAAGAACATTTCATTCCTATGTCTTACAAATGTTTAGGCTTTAACCTCCAACAAGTAAAAAGATTACTTGTACATAATAGGGCTTTTACATACAATTAAGGCATGATTCTCAAGGATCCTTTCCACCTGCAGATGTAATAGAGGTGTTTTCCTTCTAGAGCTCTGTCTGTCTTCCCTTTCAAAGTCAAATTCTTAAAATGTCTAGCTCATGGCATAACTTGCATGTCAGCAAGTATAAGCGCAATCTGCCAAGAAGACAAGGCACATTTGTAGCAGAACAAATAGATTAGGGGAAGCTTCTTAGTCCATCTCTTTAGACATGAAAGTTACATTGGAGTTGTCATTTTGTTATGTGTCAAATGATAATTTGAATAATAAGATGATACAGTGTTAGTTTTGTCAAGCAATTTTTTGCGGCTTTTCACACAGTTTTAGCTGCTGCTTTTACATGCATTCCGATAAGCAGTCCTTGCAATTTAAAATGTTTTGGGTTTGCAGCTACACTGAGCTGTGTAAAAAGAGTATGACTGAACCTACTGCAGGACAGAGGAAGGAGCTACATGATGAACTCCTTTCTCTCTCACTTTTATCTTATTTGTTCTTCCTTTGAAGTTTTTGGGTTTTGTTTGCACTTTTGTATACTGTTTCTTATTTAATTTTATTAAACTTTAGATAATTTGTAAGATCAGTAGAGAAGTATGCAGCCATTTACTCTTACTCACTGCTATAGTTTATTTTGAGGAGTATTTTTGTGTCTAAGACAAGGTGCAGAAGAGGGGCTGACAACTTTTGTTAACTTGCTATGACTGCATAGTTAAATCTGAGTGCCATGTATCTCTTCAAGTCATGCATGCAAAATAGAAATGACTTAAAAGTGCTGTTTGAAGTGACTAAGAAGTTTTTAAAAATCCATCGGTGGCTTTAAATGAACTGTTCTGTAACTAGATCTCTGAATGAGCATTGTTGTTAGAACTTGTTTCAGTCACAAGTATCAACATTATTACAGTTCAGAAAATTGATACAAATCCAACAGTACATGGTTGCCAATTTAAGATCCCGTTTCAGTAAATTCTTAAACAAAGTAACAAAAATACTTCTGCTTCTTGTTTAATTTAATCTTGAATTGTGAGTTACAAATTTGCTTGATTTTTAGATCAAAAAATGTGAACGTTTCTCTCAAACATTCATAATCTGTGCATTTGTTTTCAGTACACATTTTGGAACTTTGTACCAAAAAATTTGTTTGAGCAGTTCAGAAGAATAGCTAACTTCTATTTTCTCATCATTTTCCTTGTTCAGGTAAGCTATCCCCATTTTTCAATACATTTCTGGAGTTTGAAAAGGTTTAAAAAGGCACTGGTTTTGATGACTGAAGAGGTAAATGGCTGACCCTGGACAACCTTTTGTACTGATGATGTGATAAAAGGAGTTTTGTTTCATTTCCAGGTTGTGAATATGAATCTAACCTAAAGAGAAATTGATACCATCACCAGTTTGATGGCAAGATACCTCTTGATAAAATTGAAAAGAATGTGTAACTTTTATTTTGTTATAAGCAAACATCCAGATCAGCAAAACCATTGTTATAAGTTAGATTGATGATAAACTTCTGTTAGTTTTGCTGAATGTTATTTTTTTTTAATAACAGAATGGCAGAAATTTTCCAATTGCACTGGAAGGCTGTGGAGAAACTAAATTACAGATTCTTATACAATGCTTGCTTAGTATGGTACATAAATATTTGGGTCTGTAATTATTACCTCACACAACTAGTTTGATGCTTTCTAGGTGTCTTCATTATGAACCTTTCACAATCACTTAAATATATTAAACAATAAAAATCTTACAGAGTTAAGTGAAAAGCTGCATTACTTGGCACACCAGGTTCCGTAGAAAGAAAAGGTATGCAGATTGCCAGGAAAATTTAGACTTTCTTATCATTTGAGCTCTCTCTCTGCATTCTACTTCTGTTTATATTTGCAGAAGCCACAGCCCAATATTTTGGTATTTACTCCTTGCACGTGTAAGAACAGCTGTAGCTGTAACATGTAAAAATTACACTATACTGATTTCTAATGTTGCTTAGTAATTTTGTCTCCAAAGCTGCAGCTTTCCAATCTGGTTCTTAAACTCTTGCAAGCAACTGCTTTTACTAGTCATTAATGTCTGAATGTTAATGTGATCTAAATATACTATTGTATCTTACTATAGCATATAGTTTTCAAATTTTGTTGGTATAGTATATATTCTTAAAATTGCATTAGAGTACTATGCTTTTTAATTAAAGTTCCTTAGAGCTTTGTGAAGATATTGGTGAAATGATTACTTGAAACATCTTGGTTGAAAAATTGACAGTTTATATTCACAAAAATATAACCAGAAAATATTTATTCCTTTTGTTGCAGTTAATCATTGATACACCTACTAGTCCAGTTACAAGTGGACTTCCACTTTTATTTGTCATCACTGTAACAGCTATAAAACAGGTGAGTAATCTAGTGAGCAAAAGTAAAACTAAAGAGAACATTATTATTTGGTTTGTGTATTTCAGTTTTCCCTGCCTTTTTGTGTTAGACTAAATTAGGGCAATGCTGAAAGAATGATTGTGATAAATTTTGATATATTTTTGTTTCCTTAGTTTAAGTAGAATTGGTTGCTATATGATGATGTTTCACTCGTTTAATGCAAACTCATAAATTATTTAATAATTTTGATGTTCTTGTGTTCCAAGGAATCATTTCCCTTCTTGTGTTCACTCAGCACAACTCAGCTTTCATTTATTTGTTTCTAAATTGCTGTCCACATCCTGTTATATTTTTCCGTGACTGAAAATGAGCTTAGTAAAAGCTACAAAAACTCATAAGAAATCTGCTGTTAACCTTCAGGTTTCCTTAGCCTTTACAGTATGAACGGATAATAAAAATTATTTTGGTTCAGGTCTTCAGGATATATTTGATGGTAATCTACAGTTCATAATGATAGCTGCAGTGCTTTCTGCAGGTTAGGATTGAACAGATGTTACTGTATTATCTCATTTTAATATTTTTTTTAATATTAACCCATAAAATAGATGAAAACCCACACAAGTATTTTTTTTAGATATTAGTTGTTGCTACATCTTTGAGTATAAAAGAACTTCCTAGAAGTTGTTCTGTTAAAACAGAATTGCATAATACAGGTATGGAATTATACAGGTTTGCCATTTGACTTTCAAGTTAGTACTACCAAGAGGATAGTGATTAAAGTAGTTTTTCACCAGCTATCCTAATGCTGCAGTGCTACCTTTGGCATGAGCACATAAATGTAGATGGAGTCTTATTGAAAGTAGTGGAATCTCAGATATATATGGAATGTTTTAATTCATGTGGAGATATTAAAATCAGATCTGTATGTTATCAGAGCCTCTGTTATTTCAAATTGCATGTAGATCAGGAATTATTTAGGAATGAGCTCATAATTGCCTTTCTATTGATTTAGCCAGAGATGAATTTATTGACTTTGTGAGTTTCAAGCCAGCTAAAGGAGGACAAGAGGATACCTAATCTTGCAAAAAACCTTGCTAGTGCAGAGTTAATTTGTTGAAAATTTTACTAAATTTGAGCTAGCAAGTGATTTTATAAGCAGTACTTTGTATCTGGTGCCTACAATACCCTTCTGCATTTACTCTACCATCTCACCATAGCCACAGAATAGTTTCTAATAATTTGGGCTCCTATAGTAATAGTCACAAGTCATGTTCTTTACAGTGGTTCTGTTATGTGTTTGGCTTTTTGCCTTCAGTTTAGTTTAATGATATTTGCTTCTGTAGGATAGCTGTCAATGTAGGCACTCAGTGGCACAGCGAGTTCCCTTTCATGGTTTGGTCTTCTCTGTGTCTCTGCGTCCAGATACCAGCCATTTCCTTCCTTCATTTCAGTGAATGGAATGTGAATGTGGAAGGAAAATCTGCACAAGCAGCATCTTTTGCTGGGCTGCTTGGAGGAGTTAGTACTTTCCATGAGCATAAGGAAGCTCTTTTACTTTGTGTTTCCAAAAAATGTTATCTTTTGAGGGGGAAAAAAATAAAATCCATTAAATAGTTTAATTCAAGACTGCTTCTAGGTCAAAGTGCTCCTTATTTTACCTCAAAACTTGTAGAGATAAGACTGTATTTCTTACATACCTATGACGGATTTGATGATTAAAACAATGGCTAACAAAAATGAGGATGTGGTGTGTTGACCCTGGCCAGCAGCCAAACACCCACGCACCCCTTTTCTCACTCCCCTCTTCTGTGGAAAACAGAGAGAAAGTGAAGATACTTGTGTATCATATTAGTGACACGTTATAGGGAAGTAACAGCTATGCCAAGCAAAATAAGGAATTCATTCACTACTTCCCATTGGTAGGCAGATGTCCAGTCACTTTCTGGAAAGCAGGGCCTCAGCACAAGTCATGCTTGCTTAGGAGGACAAGTGCCATCACCACAAATGATCCCTTTGTGCCTGCTTTCCCTGAGATTTTCTTGCTGAGCACAATTACATATAGTATTGAATATCCCATTGGTCAGTTTGGGTCTGCTGTCCAGGCAGTGTCCCCTCCCAGCCCCTTGCCCACTACCCGCAGCCAACTGACCTCTTTTTCAATGTATGGGGAAGTTGGACAGAAAGGCTTGATGCTGTGCAAGTACTGTTCAGCTGTAGCCAAAATACTGGGGCCTAACCAACACTGGTTTAGCCCGTTACAAAGCGTGGCAGCATATGAGCAGCTGTGAAGAGAGTGAACTCCATCCCAGCCAGGCCCAGAACAGAGGGTAGTTTTGATTGTCCCTGCATAGGGTAACTGACTACCTTTACAGTCTCTATGCTAAATGCAGACTTTTCCTTCATTCATTTTCAAAGAAACTACAGAGAGCAGTATTGTAATTTATTTACAGTGCTAACTATATACAATTGAGTATATTCTATTGTAGAATTTCTGGTGAGCAAAAGCTGTGATGCATGCAATAGCTAGTATTTTAGGTGTGGCTTTCCCGCTCTGAAGATATTAAATTTTGCACTTTAGAATTTTACTGTAGGTTGGTAGTGGCCTACCACAGCCTGGATTATGACATGTGGTGCCTCAAACTGCAGTTCTATCTATCTCCTTGAGTCTTTCTCCCAACAAGTGGGACCTGATTGATAAGCTGTACCAGCTCCTGGAGGTATATTACACTGAAGTTAGAAAGACTCTGTGGGTTCCCAGATTATCTCTGAGAACATCCAAGGCAGTGGTGCTTTTGTTTTGCATTGCATTTTCAATGGTTTAGTGTGAGGTGTCCCTGCCCATGGCAGGGGGATTGGAACTAGATGATCTTAAGATCCTTTCTAACCCTAACTATTCTATGATTGTATGTATTCAAGAGAATTAGATGTAAAAATGCATATGGAGCCAATGGTGTCTTTCAGTCCCAATTTTTATCCCACAGCAACACATTTTGAATGGAAAGTTGCAGGTTCCCTGTCCTTTACTTTGTTTCTGCATGTAGCTTTTGGACGATCAAAATAAGTTATTCTGCAGTCTCTTAAAACAAAATTCTTCAGGTTGATATATATTGTATATAAGGTTAAAAAGTGTTAACAAGTGTATAACAATCAGAAAATAATGACTACCTTCAGTTATGTCGTTACTTCATCATCTTTCAGTATGAAGTCTCAGTCTTCCAAAATATACTTCTATGCCTCTATCTTCTTGGCAACCCCTTCGAGAAGTACTTTGCACTTACTCAGGAGTCAATAGAGCATGAAAAAGAGATAATCACTTAACCACCAGAAAGTTCTACACTTTGTAAACACCCCTATTCATCAGAATGTCTTCATTAAAATATATAATTTTGTTGACTAATTTTAACCATGAATGTTCTTGTTTGTAAATGTCCAACATGACTGACATGTATCAAAATTTCATTTGTTCTAGTGAGAATATATTCTTTTCCCCTCTTCCCACCTCTCCCTCCCCATTTCTTGATAAAGGATAATCTCGATTTGATTGGTTGATTGGTTTTGTTGCAAGATAGAGCTTATTTGTGTCTTTATAGCCAAATGTGCATCATTGTGTCATTCCATTTCACTATTTTCTAGGGTTATGAAGATTGGCTTCGACATAAAGCTGACAATGCAATGAACCAATACCCTGTTCATTTCATTCAACACGGTAAACTGGTTAGAAAGCAAAGCCGAAAATTAAGAGTAAGTAATTATGACTTAACAGAGTAAGGCTTTACTTCACGCTTCTTGTGGAACAAATTATACAGAAATGCAGCATGATGATGTTGCAGCACTTCTTACATTTCGTTGAGATTAGACTTGCAACATACTAATTTTTAATTTAATGCCACTCAGTAAATTTTATAAGCTAGATATGTTTCTATTTTATCTTGTTAACTCCTAACTGTTCCATTCATTTTTCATTTTTTAACTCTAATTTTTCCACTCATGCTTTGTCTTCTCTCCATTTTCAGTCTATGGTTATGCACATTAATGATGTATTTAAGACAGATTATCATAGCGCTACTGATGTGTCCTATGTATACAACATACATATGAATACATATATATGCAACACATTCAGAATACTTTCTTCATAACTCTTCAAATCACAGCCTCTTCATTGGCTGTTGAATGTTGCTGCATTCCCTTCCTGGCATTTTAAAGATTATTTTCAGAATTAATCTCTGCTTTTTTTTTTTTTATAAGCAGATTCTTTGATTCTTTTCATCGTCATTCTCTTTAGAATTCAGCAAATTTGATAGCTATTTGTTTGGATTTTTCCTTATTTCTGATATCTTCATTAGGGATATCTTTTTTCTGTTTTGCCTTGTTTGGACGTAAATGGCTCTACAGTGTTTACAGCCTTTCTGCTGATGCCTTTCTCTGTGATCTTCCCTTTGAGTGTGATAGCTTCTGCCTAGGGCTTTCTGGTAATAAAAAAAAATTGAAACATCACATGCTGAGTATTCCTTATACATAACTAAACAGTTAAATACTGCAAAGAAAGTACCACATGACTGAAATTTGTATTCCATTAAGTAATCTATTGCCCATATTTTCTCAATTTCTCCCATTCTTTGCATTTCAGAGACTGTATTTTGAGCAACTAGATAGTAGGAGACAGGCATAAGAAATATTTGCATAGAAAGGGATATCTGTAAATATCTGGATGAATATCTGGATAAATTCTTGGACATGTATTAAGCAAGAAAATGGACTAGAACATGTAAAGGTAGACTGTTATGTACCTAAAGCCTGTGGACATTTGATTAAAGACAAGGTTTCTTTTTCACTGCATCACAGACCAGTTGAGGTTGTCAGGCATGTGTGGAGGTCATCTGGTCCAACCCCCTCTGCTCAAGCAAGCCCACCAAGAGCTGGTTGCCCAGGACCAGATAGCTTTTGATTATCTCCAAGGGTAGAGATGCAATCTGTTCATTTTTTTTTCCTTATAATCATTTGAGAAGATGACCCCACCAAAATGTATCAATGCCTTTTTTTCTCAAATGAATGGTTTAGAGCAATATTTTGAATTTATAGTTGGTTTCCTGTTCTGTGACACTCAAACGCGCTGTAAGATTTAACTGTGTTTTCATGACTACAAACTAATTTGCTCACCTTTAAATACGGATGAAAATAGGATGGACTTCTAGTCATAAATTCTGCTGAAAATATATCCTATTTTCATTGCCAGACTTGGAAATCATAACTTTTGCAACTATATAATTATTTTCAGAGCTACATGCTTATCCTCAACAGCCAACAAAAGTAGCTCAAATCTTCAGCTGTTTTTGAAATAATGTTTTGTTGTATTTAGTCTTAAAACAAGGATAGTATCTTCCTCTTTCAAATAAAGTTGCAAAACTTAAGAAGGCAGTACTTGCAAAATGGTTATCCTTAAAGGAAATATAGTACACAGCAGACCTCAGCCATTCCACAAGGTGTGATTCAGTTTTTGAGATATTCCTGTAGTTCTTTACTGCTGTGATAAAATCGTGGTGTAAATAAAAGTAGATGAATTTTCTAAATATTTTAGTGAACTGATGTTTTGAAATCTGAAAATCAGGCTGCTACATAAATGCTAAATGCATTTTTTGTTGTATCTTTTCTTTAGGTTGGAGATATTGTAATGGTAAAAGAAGATGAAACATTCCCATGTGACTTAATATTTCTGTCAAGTAGTAGAGAAGATGGAACGTGCTTTGTTACAACAGCTAGTTTGGATGGTGAATCCAGCCATAAAGTAATTAAATGTTCTAAATTTCCTTTCTGAGGCAAAGCTTGCTTTTAATTTTTCATATTTGACTGCATGCTTACATGTGTGAGCAGATTAACTTGTGTAACTTAGGTTTCTACCAATTGACTTACTTTTTCGTAAAGTAACATTTTATGGAAAGTTTAAAAATGTATGTATTTGTGACTTTGTGCCCAGTATAGACATGCAGATTACAGAGGTAATGCAAAAACTTTTTTGTACTTAAATGCTTTCATGGTGACCTGATTAGTTACCACACTGCAAGCTACTTGCATGTAATATAAGATGATGCCCACTTAGGAGCATTTGAAGATGCATCTTACTTGAACTATGAGCTCTTATGTGGAAGTTAATAAATCTGCTTCATGCTGAACTGAAATATATGTGCAGATTAATGTATTCTATATCTGTCCTTTTTTATTTTATTTACACCTTGATATTTGTTTCAGACTCACTATGCTGTTCAAGATACAAAGGCATTTCACAATGAACAAGAAATGGATGCACTACATGCTACCATTGAATGTGAACAACCTCAGCCTGACCTTTATAAGTAAGAAAATAATTCTTGCCATTTTACTTGGTGTTCCCTAACAATAAATTATAAGAATATCATAATGAAAATATACTGGCTGCATCTGGCTGGATAGAGTGGGCTCCAGAGTGAGCTTGACATCAGCTTAGTTTTTCATCCTTGCTCCTTTCCTGCAGGTAGTTCACTGGTCTGCTGTAGGGCAGTGGTCTCCAAAGAGGGGTGCACAAAGCAGGCCATTTGTGTGGCAAAAAATTTAGAACTTGTGGTTTTTTTTAATCTAAAAAATAAGAAAGAAATTAAGCTTTACTAATATTTAATACATTTCTTAACACTGGCTGTCAAGAAATAGCCTGTATGTCAGTCCCATGTCACATAACAGTTTGTGACAAGTCTTCAGGGGATGAGAGGATATTCTGCAACAGACAGGTTGCTTGTGGCACCATGTCTTGTTCTTTTGCTTTCAGCACACATGAATAATGAGAATATGTATTGGTAGACAGCTTCTATCTCTGCTACTTTTTGCTTGGCACTTTACTGGTCAACAAACCACAGTGACGAATCTTTCTTTCCAAAGGCACATGGTCTTTTTACATCAAGATGCATCATAACAAACTCTACAGTGTCATTAGATGTGGCTCTGCTGTGTTGTATATTTTCTCAGCAGACAGGTTGCCAGTTCTCTGAGCCTGGGAGGTTTCCCTTTCAGGGTAACAGACCCACCAGTTCCCCAGTTTCCTCTACCATCCAGAATGCTGATGTCTGCCTTAATCTGGTTTGATTTGAGGTTATCCACTTAGACTGTGATATTGCAAATACAGCATACTGGATCTGACTGAAATGTAGTAAATATTCTTCATAGCAGCCCATTTGGTGTAGTGGTTTTGATTTGTAACAAAACCAGTGTTAATAACACACCCGTGTTTTTGCTGTTGCTGAAAAATGCTTGCGCAGTGTCAAGGGTTTCTCTGGTTCTCACTTTGCCCCTCCAGCAAGTAGGCTGGGGTTGGGCAGGTAGGCTGGGAGCGGACACAGCCAGGAAATTGACCTCAGCTGACCAGAGGGTTGTTCTGTGCCATAAAATGTCATGCTCAGCAATAAAACTAGTAGTCTTTCAAAAGTAGCTGTTGCTTGAAGACTGGCTGGGCATTGGTCTGCTTATGGGAGGTGGTGAATGATTGCCTTTGTGTCACTCGTTTTGTTTTCCTTCACTTACTAATCTGTCATTATCTTGCTTTTGCTCTTCCAGTTCTCTCTCCTATCCTTCTGGGAAGGGAATTAGCAAGAGGCTAGTGCATGCTTAGTTGCTATCCAGCAGCAACCCACTACATACAGATAAAATGAACTTAGAGAGATATTCAGAGGGAAAATTGCTTATTTGCCTTACACTTTTGTTTTAAACTCAATTGTAGGGTTTAGGTTTTGTAAAGAATAGTAATTACACTGGGTTACCTTGGGTAATTTAGGGAATAAGATTTCTTGTTATTTCTTGCTAATGGGTCTACTTAGAATATTTACGTCTAATTTTAGAATCTCTTATATCTTTTTATATGGACATTTTACACTGACTTACTGTTCTGTGTATTTTTCTGTTTATGTGTATCTCCGTGTTCTTGTTTATGTTCTTGGTGATCAGAGCTTGTTCAACTGGAGGGTGCTCACTGTAATAAATACTTTGTAGAAAATATTTCTCAATCTATTCTTACATATGTTTTTTGAAGTGACAGTAATTTTCTTTGTTTTCAAACATGTATGTGTGGTGTATATATATCTGTAATGTAATGTACATTAAACTGAAATATTTGGACATATATGCATAGTAATACACAAATTAGCAATGTTGTTAAGCTACATATATACTTCCCTTGCAGATTTGTTGGTCGAATAAATGTTTACCATGATAGGAATGAGCCTACTGCAAGGTAGGGAAAATCCAGAGTTTTTACACACTTGAACATTTCCAGGGTTGTGCTGATTTTGGCCAGGGTAGAGTTAATTTTCTTCATAGTAGCTGGTACTGGGACTATGTTTTGGATTTGTGCCGGAAACTGTTGATAATTCAGAGTCAAGGCCTTTTCTGCCTCTTGCCCCATCAGCAAGTAGAGTGGGGTGCACAAGAGATTAGAAGGGGGGACAACCAGGACAGCTGACCCCAGCTGACCAGAGGGATATCGCAAACCATGTGGCATCATGCTCAGCATATACAGCTGGGGGTAGAAGGAAGGAGGGGAGAATGTTCATAGTAATGGCATTTGTCTACCTAAGTCACTGTTACATGTGATGGAGCCCTGCTGTCCTGGAGATGGCTGAACCCCTGCCTGCTGATGCGAAGTGGTGCCTATTGAACTGTCTCTATCTCAACCCAGGAGTTTTCTTGGTTTTACTCTTCTAATTTTCTCCCATCCCATTGAGGGTAAGGGGGTGTAACTGATTGGCAGTGTAGGGCTTAGTTGCTGGCTGAGGTTAAAACATGACAAGGTTCAAATAGGTATCAATGGTGAACATTACCTTTGGTTCACCAACAGCATGCTGCCTTGTCTTATTAATAATATGTATTTCTCATACAAGTTTCCAGACTTATTTCATATATAAGTATTTCATATTTTAATCAGATAGATTTATCTCATTTATATTTTTGTCTTTATTCAACTTCAATTTTATTTGACGTGTATTTAGTTTATAAATTACGCTGATAGGATTTTGACCGTGCTTGTACAATACTGCTCCATTAACAGGAGATCCTGATAGTGCACTAAACAATATGAATAGTATCACTTGTATATTTCTCTGTTTTTTTCTTCTTAGAAATTTAAGAATATGAACATGCCCAGTATAATGTTTAGTTTTAGTAGTGGTTTTTGCACATTTTTCTAAAATGTCTAGTGCTGTGTGTTCAGGAAGGCAACATCCAAGGTAATTAATTTTGTATGTTGTGAACGATGTGATCTGTTAGCCTGGGTCTGGCACTTAGAAGGGTCTGCCTCCTGTGCAAATAGGCTTTATCCTGAAGGGAGTGCAGTGCTTTGTGCTCAAGGAGCAGTCTCAGGACATTCCTTGTCCAGCAACATAAAGAAAAAAAAATGAAGCAGTCAAAAGAGGCACGAGTCTTCCTCTCTTTTCTGCCTAGGATCTTCTGTCTACCACCAAGGAAGAAACTTCCCGTACCTCATTTTGTTCAGGTCCTTGGTACAAAGAGGCAAAGCAATAGGAGGGAAAGCTTCTTGCTGGGTGATATCCTAGACTCCAGCATATGGGTGGTGTACAAGTGTGTCTACATGTCTGACTTCTATCACAGTCTGCTACGAAAACTGGTTTTTTTGTTTGTTTGTTTGTTTGTTTTTAACTTCTTTCTCTTTAGAGATTGACTAATACAGTTGGCTGGAAATGAAGTTGGGTGGGAGAGGACAGTAAAAGAAGCAAAAAAAAATAACCTTTTTGATCTCAACAGGAATTGATCTGTGTATAACACAAGAAGAAAGTCTGTGGCATTAAGACTTAAATTCCTTGGACAGCACTATTAGAGCAATGGGTGTTTTTTACTATATTGGGATATAATGTCTTATAATCCAAGTCATTCATGTAGCATCACACCACTGGTTTAGACGAAACTAGTTTCAGGTTGTATGGCCAGGGATGTTTGTTTTTTTTGTCTTTAGAGGATTAGATTAGATTAGATTTTGGAACACTTTGAAAAACGTGAACACGTTAAACATTTGGAGCACATTAAAAAAAACTGAACTTTTTTTTGTCATTACTGTGTATATGGTCTGATAATTCTACATGCTTTCTGTCTATAAAGTAGTCCTTGGTTTTGCACTAATATGGTGATTTATATTATTTTAAATTGCATAGGGATCCTTATATTAATTTCCTTATTCCTCAGTAAACTATTTTACCTATATTCAACTTTATGCTTTGAAATGTATACAGTAAATATCAAACAATACCTTATATGCCATTTATACTTAAAATGGAAGAATGTATTTTCCTTAATAAGTAATTCTAGCATGTGGGATACTATCATTTATATAAGCCTAAAAAAGACTTGAATTGCTATTTTTAAAGATACGCACCTTGCTATTAGGATCATGAATCTTTATTTAGGTACCTGCATATGTGGTTCTTGGATGCATTGGTTTAAGACTTGAATTGTGAAATTATGAGTTTAATTTTAGGCATCTACATATTTTTAATTTTAACTGAAAGCTTTAAATATGCCTAGTAATTTTGTTACACAAAGTAGAAATATTTGACTAAAACTAATTTCCTCTTTTATGTGGCTTCTACTAAGGTCTGCTGTTTCTCTCTAAAGGTTTATATTTTGTAACATTTATCTTTGCAGGCCATTAGGATCTGAAAATCTGCTTCTTAGAGGAGCCACTTTAAAGAATACAGAAAAAATCTTTGGTAAATCTTTCTATTGATTATTTAAATAGACTGTGAAGTAGCAAGCAAACATTAAACAAGGCTACAACCCTACAGTTACTACTGACCATATGATTTCTAATGAGTCACTTGATTTGCAACTTTTTAATAAGGTTTACTATTGTAATTGCAGTGAAGTAACTATTAATGATGTATAATGACTATAAAAAGTTTTTGGAAGGAGGATTTTATTGTTTGTCTTTAACGATTACTTAAGGTGACTCAAGAAGACAATTCAATTTCATGTAAATATATGGCTTTTGAACAGGCACTGGAAATTAATGATGTTGTCCCAAAGCAGTTAATGAGCCTATTGAAAAATCTTTATAATCTGTTTTGCTCATTTGTTGAAACAGACACCCCAACCAGATGTAAATATGATTGATCAAAAAACCATCAATCCACTTAAACAGTTCCTGATCAAAATTAGACTTTCTGTTAGCAAGTATATTTTATGTGTACAAATTGTCCACATTCTATAAAAAATGTTGCATATTTTAGCAGAAATTGGAAGCACAAACTGAGATTTTTTTATTTTTATTTTTTTAAATTCTTCAAGAAAGCCTAGTGGGAGTAGTAGTTCTGTTATAACAGGCCAGTCTTTATCAGTGACTAAAGGAAAAAGGATCCAAATTATCCTTTATCTTTTACAACTTCGGTACTCCCACGAAAGATCAGTGATAGCCATGAACTTAGCCTAAACTACCAAAATCTTGCAACTTTTTCTCAAAACAGAGTGCAAAAAGTATGTATTAGTTTCAACTTCCTCATTTTGCTTTTAGTTGTAGTCTAAAATAGATGGACTAATATAATCCGTTTGTAGAAAGTATTTTTGTAAATTTCAGGAGATGACTTTAATATTTAATATTTATTTAATATTTAATATTAATATTCTGTTATCTTGAGTATCGGGCAGAAATGTTTCTAATAAGCAGTTGTTTCTGGTCTGCCTTACATATGCAGCATTTGCCATTACCCCAGCACAATTCATATCCTGAATTATTTTATTTAGCTATGTACAGATGTGCTTGCTTAAGTACTTTAAGTCCATCATCTTGTTTACAGCTTCTTTTAGTTGCTGTGTTCAATCTTCTGAGGTTTAGTCTTTTGATCTGTGTTCTCAACAGGAAATTTGTAATGTCAAACGATCACTTTTCATTAATTCTAAAATTTTACTGAAGCAAGCAAAATTGATGGTTGCCTTTTATTCTTCTTAGATGTGTCCTGTAGTTTAGCCCTATCTGGATTTTCTTTCACGATGTATGACTTAGCTTCTAAAATTATAGCCACAAAAGAGAACTTAAAAACGCAAGGCGATTTATTCAAAACCCCAATTTGGATTGGCTTTGATACATAGCAACATGTTAGCAATTGGGAACTGTGACTCTGGAATGGGATGTAAATGCTGCTTAAAGTTTCCTAAAGTTATTCTTTATTAAAGCTATTTCTAGTTTCTGAGTATCATCTAAATCTTTGTTCTTTTTCTTCAGACTATAGAGAATTAAAGAAATGATGGAGTATAATAATAAAGTGAATTGTGCTTTTATGAAGTTGTTGTGCTATGTAATCATTAGTAAAACAAGTTGTCTAATTTCAGGTGTTGCTATCTACACTGGCATGGAAACTAAGATGGCATTAAATTATCAGGCAAAATCACAGAAACGATCTGCTGTAGAAAAGTAAAATTTCTCATATTTATTTTGGGGGTGGAAAACTGCATGTTCGGATGGTGAATAAAAGGGGAGGTTTTTTTTTATTTTACTAAATGTATATGTTTCATTAGAGGTAGAGGGACTTAATGGTTTGTTTTCAGTAAAACCAATTTTTTGGATGCAGTTTACTTTGGATCAACTGCGGTAACACAAAGCCTGTCTGTGGCAGGTTTCCCATGGTTTAGCTAAAATTAGAAGTTCCTTGCAGGGCATATATAATGGGAAAGGAAGACACTGCTATTCTCAAGGAAAGAGCTGACATTGGTTGCTTACTTTTTTAAAGAGAGATAAGTATTCTTTAGTCCTACTCTGCTATCTGAAATCATCAGCTCTGAGTAAGGTGTCCAAGCCTTGTGGAAAAAAAAAGGTGTTAAGGCAAGATGTACTGACTGGCTGACAGCCCTTCTCTTACACAGTGACTGAGCATTGGTGATGTGTCTTTTTCAGTTCTTATTGATATATAACCAGTGGCTTCTAGTTCATACCCATTCATCGATGAAAATATAATTTTAAATGTGAAATGTTCTTGCTCTTTTTTTAGATCTTGTCTAGAAAGTGTTAAATCATTACAGCTACATAGCACAATGTTCTCAATAGATTTATATTCCATGAAAATACTTATGTGAGTGTTTTCTTGTCAGTTCAGAGAAATGGCATAAAAAGGCCTGCAGATACATGTCTGGTTATTCTGTTATGATTCCATCTATGCTATTGTTTTTAATAATGTACTAGGTTTGGTAAGGTGTCCCACACAGTTTGGAAAACAATTACAGCAGTTTACATTTTAAATAGAAAATCATCCTCAATAATATTTTTCTGTGTTGGGAAAATGCTGTAGAAAAGTTATATAACATCATAGTGTTAGAATTGGAGCAAGTGTTAAGCTGAAGCACAAATGTAACATTTTTCAATAAACTGTGGTTTATGTGCTAATGGAGTTCTCACTTTGCCTTTATTTATTTATTTATTTTTTTTAGATCAATGAATGTATTCCTTATTGTATACCTCTGTATTCTCATCAGTAAAGCACTAATAAATACTGTCCTGAAGTATGTCTGGCAGAGTGAGCCATTTCGTGATGAACCATGGTATAATCAGAAAACGGAGCCAGAAAGGAAAAGAAATTTGGTATGGAAATAAATTTCAACACCAAAAAGTTTTACTAAACCTGTAATGTGCAAGAATCCTCCTGAAAAGCGTACACAGCCTGCTTGCTTACTGATCGTAAAATGTTTTGTTTGCTAATAGTGGTGACGGTATGTTTGCAGAAAGCTTATATATTAAATTTTTGCACTCAAGTTATACATATGAATTTAACTGATGAGAAAATGTCATGTTTAATATAAGAACTGTCCTCTTGCAGAGGAATATAGGACTGAAAGATATCTGACAGCTGTTGGTAATCATATAACAGATGTGTTCAAAAGAATCCACTGTGGGAATCTGTGTAACAATACCCCTTAAAAACTTAGTTTGATATAGCTCTGTAACTCTGTCATGAGCATTAGAGACCCACAGGAGTGTTGCCAGTGTCTGATGACCCTACCAGAGAAAGGAAGTCCAGAATGGATACCCACATGATCCAAAGTAACAGACTGAGCTCAGCACTACAGAAAATGCAATATTATGACACTAAATACTTCCAGTGAGACTAGGGGAAAATTTTCTTGGTTACCCTAAATGCATGATGGGCGCACACTAGCCAGGCATGTTCTAGATTTCTCATTACCACCAGTAGCACCATCTCGGCCTGCTTAGCAGGTTGACTATGCTTCCACAAGTCTCCACCACTGAAAAAATTGAGCTAGGTTATATGCACACATTTTACTTGTGTTGAGAGAAGGAAGGGAAACCCTTTATTCATTAATGAAATGCTGCCTGAAAGTTATGTAATTGGTAATCCTTGAATGAGTTGCTGCAGGTTTATGTTGCTTTTCTGGTAATTTGTGAATGTACATGTTACCATTTTCCTTGTTCTCCTACAGGTGTTCATCACTCTCATGAGTTGCTCTAGAATTTACAACCATGATGTGTGACTATAGACCTGTAAAGAAAAATACAAATTTTTAGAAGTTTTTTCTTTATGCCAAATCTGTTGTGATGTTATATACCACGAAGGCACACACTTGTGTTGAGCTGTGAGCTGTGAAAGGTGTTGCTTACTGTTTGAAAGTTACTAGAAAAAAAATAATCTGCAAATGTATGTAGTCATCTTTTGGTTTTTGATGGTACCTGAAAAATCAGTATTTTCATCTTGTTTCTTTGGCAGTTTCTTCGAGCGTTTACAGATTTCCTTGCATTCATGGTTCTTTTCAACTACATTATTCCTGTATCCATGTATGTCACTGTGGAAATGCAGAAATTTCTTGGTTCTTACTTCCTTACATGGGATGAGGAAGTGTTTGATGAGGACACAGGTGAAGGACCACTGGTGAATACTTCTGACCTCAATGAAGAGCTGGGACAGGTAAATTTTAACAAATGATAATTTTTTTTCAGCCTTTTCTACCATAAGTTTTTATTTTAAAATCGTTAGGGTTTTTTTTTTCAGCTTGAAATATTGAAAAATTCAACATTGATACAAAAGGAGTGTTTCCAGGGCAGTAGCAGTGCCCAGTTGTGTAACTGTATATGACCATTAATCCAGAATCATCACTTAAACTAATGTAATTGTAGTGGGGAATTCTGATACCACCCTAAGGACCATTCTGACAGAAACCAATCTAAATCCAGGCATGTACATTAAATAATGATCCTTGGGAAATTGAATTCATGTGCGTTTTGTTTCCATAAATATCTGTCTTGCAGCACGAAAGCAATTAAAAAACAAAAAAGAGACTGGGAGAAGAGAGAAAATAGGTTAAACACATTATTTGTATGTGTTATGAAGCAAAAGATAGCTTTGCTGAGAGTCTTGTGTGATAAAATCTTTCCAGGCCCAATTTCTGTGGAAGATGACTCCCAAAAGAAATTGTCTTCTTCTTTTGAAAGAGCATGCATAAGGATCCTTAAAGGAAGATGTAACCCAGTAATAATCTCAGTTTTGTTAAGAGAACTTGGAAAATCTCTGCTCTGCTGTTTTTAATTTGTGCTTATTTGCAGATTGAGTATGTCTTCACAGATAAAACAGGAACGTTAACTGAGAACAACATGGAATTTGTAGAATGTTGCATTGAAGGGCACGTTTATGTGCCGCATGTTATCTGCAATGGCCAAATTCTCCATGATTGTACAGGCATTGATATGATTGATTCTTCTCCAGGAGGAAGTGGAAAGGTATTATGACTTGTTCCTGGTTTTTATAATGAAACATGAAAATTGAACTGTGCTGATGTGAAGGGAATATTGGAAATAAAGCATTCTTGAGTTTCACTAATCATAGTGTATAATTGCAGGAAATTCATCACAGCACATACATTTTCGTTTCCTAGTTTAAACTAAGATTTGAAGACTTAATGGGAAGTTTCCCGACTTACTGCAGATGTAAAATTGAATTAAATAAAACCCCAAAATACAGAACTTTCTTTGGTTAGTAGCTAAAGAAATGTAATAGCTGGTTTCCATTTAACATTAGTGGTAATAGGGAAAGCAAGGCAGGAAAGCTCCTCAAGGGTGAAAATGAGTGTTCAAGGCAAACAGTCATCACTGAGTGAATATGTGGCCAGAGAATGGTTTATGATTAAATGAAATTACTTTTAAATGTGACTTAATATAGCCACATTTGAAATGTGTTATACACAGCATGTATAAAAAACATGCTGCTTTTTTGCTGTGTAAAGCAAAGTTAGGTGAAAGTTAAGGAGCTTTCATATGTCAGCTAATGAGCAGGTTGTAAATGGGCAGGATAATCATAGCCAAAGGACATTGGATATATTTTTAAATATATCAGTACAGTGTCAAATCATAGTTTGGCCATACCCTTCACTATGCCAAAACAAGGCCTCTTAAAATATGTTGATATAATTCAGCAGCCTTATAGCTGTCACCCACAGGCCTCAGAATGCGGTCCCAAGGTGTTTTTATCTTGGAATTCTAATGGCACAGTCAATTTGTACTGAACAGCACAGAAGAATAAGATTCAGACACAAAGCGACAGGTAGAATACAGTCAGGTATCCATGAAACAGAAATATTTTTCTGTTGTCAGAAGCTGTCATTACCGAACCATCTGAAACTTCATAGAAGTTGTTGTCTCCAGCTGCCAAAATGCCCACCTCCTATATTTTATATAGCTCTTAAAGATACTCAAGCTGCCTAAGGAACTGAAATCTGTAAACCCTGTTAAGACTTGTACTTCAGGTGCTGCATCCCTCTGTCTGGACTCAGGACTCTTAAAATTGTACCTCAACTAGTATATGATACAGTTTGTTCAAAGTTTAAGTAAAAGTAAAGTTAATAAACCTTTAGCCACATCTAGGACCCAGGAAGCAAGAGACGTACCCTCTTTTGGGCATCAGGAGCTTGGCTTGCATGGCAATGCTAGTAGCAATAGCAGCTGATGAGCGGTTGTGCGTACCGCTGGGAAAGACTTGGCTCCCCCTAAAGGGCAGGTGACCTGTGACATTGCCTTTATCTGACAGAAACAGTAGTAATTAGTGACATGGAAAACTTTTCCTTCAGAAGGTTATCAAAGCAGTGCATGAAATTGGTAACACGTAATGGCAACTATTTCTTTTATGTTTTAGGAGAGAGAGGAGCTATTTTTCCGAGCTCTTTGTCTTTGCCACACTGTCCAGGTGAAAGATGATGACAGTGTAGATGGATTGAAGAAAAGCCAGCTCTCAAGAAGATCTTGCATATATATATCATCATCACCAGATGAAGTTGCTCTAGTTGAGGGAATACAGAGGTACGTGTATAATTAGATATTATAATTTTTTTATTTGTGGATCTAATCACTGAAGTTCAAAATTGTTTTAAGCACAAAAATTGTAATAAGAAACACCAAATTGGCACAGCTGATGATTTTCTCAACATACAGTCATGACTGCTCATATTCATAAATCAAATAAAACTCTTTGTGAGTTGGGTTTTGTGGTTTGGTGGGGTATGTTTTGGTCACCAATTCCCCCTTCCTACCCTCAAGAGAAGCTCAGTCTTAAATCCTTATGATATGCTTAAACTGGATAATTATGTATTTGTTGTATTCATTCTCTTGATGTGTGTTCCATTTCACAGGCTTGGTTACACCTATCTAAGGCTGAAGGACAATTTTATGGAGATCGTAAATCGGGAAAATAACATAGAGAAGTGAGTGGTTAAAAATACAAGAAAATAGATGAGGATAATCTAATAGTTACTGATAGTTTTAGAAACTATGGTTAGGTTATTTTTTCCTTTGTTATATGGTAATAATTTTTTAATAGAAAATGGTGTGTACCGAGTTTGTCGTTCGCAAATAATCTGTATTTATGGGGGGTAATATCCATAGAATAAATTTTTATAGCTGGTTCAAAGAAAAATTAAAACAGGTACTGTTCTTGTTATTTTCCTTTGACAGAATAGATTTTGTTGTCCATAATATGAGTAAAATTTTCAGTGACATTTTAGTAGTAGAGCTGTTCAGTGGGGTGCATGTACTTCCAAAAATGTTACTTTCCACTTCTGTAGAAGTTTACTGGTAAAGTCTCTCATATATCTGAGTCTTCCTACATGTGCACTCTGCTAACCACACAGGGATTCTTGGACACAAATATAGGAACCCTGCTGGCATTTTTCCCCCTTTTAGGGGAATATGGAGGATTTTTCCTGAAAGTTACTTCAGACTTTTGTGGCTCATCTCATAAGAACTTCATTCAGTATCATTTGGTGGTTTATTAAAGTACTGTAATTACTAGGAATTTTCTCCAAAATGCATCATGGTTTGTAGATACAGGTCTGATCCAACTCCTTCTTAGAATCTGTTGTAACTTCTTAATGAACAAAGCACTGTGGCCTCGTACAGGTTTGAATCCCAGACTGTTGTAAGGACTTAGAACTGAATGACCTAATTAAACAAGCAAATCTATTTTATGAGCTAAGTATTAACAGAGATGAATCCTGAAGAGATTTGGATTAATGATTGGGATGCTTATGTTTGTGCTGAAAAAGGAAGAATTTTAGATAAAAGGAAATAGGTAAGGTAGTAAATGATAAAAGTATTTTAACTGATGAATGATACAGAAACAGTACAACAGGAGCTTCTGCCTAGAAGGGAAAAGAATATGGGATAAAATGAAATTGTAAAAAACAATGGCACATATAAAACCAGTAAAAAGAAATGTTTTTTACACTTTAATAACTTGTCAGCCAACACTTGAGCAAGATTTATGGAGTAATGTGGGCTCTTTGGGGAAATAGGAATAGTCAAAATTAGAAAAATATTAAATAAAGACTTCTTTGTAAATGCCGATGCATTTCAAGTTCTGTGGCTATCCCTAGGTATTATATATAGGAATTTACTTTATGAGCAGTGTAGTGCTCTACTGCAAGGTTTCTAGTCTTATAAATAAATTATATTGACTATATATCTAAAGATGCTTATGAACATGATGCAGACAAATTCTGTTTCAAGTAATTAGGAGCTAGGGGTCTCCCTTATTTCTTATTTGTAACCTGCTTTTTAACACTGTGGAAGTTCACATTCCATAGTACTCAATATAATTTTCCATGTTAGAATTCATGCTTTAATTGATATGCCTGAAGTTGTAACAACCAATTTAGGGATCTGGAAAAGCAGAGTTGTTTAAAAAATAATTCTGTTTCTGTTCCAGGTTTGAATTATTAGAGGTTTTGAGTTTTGATTCTGTGAGACGGCGAATGAGTGTAATTGTTAGATCTTCAACAGGTAGGACTGTCGCATCCTGTTTCCTCTTAGATGTTTTTGTTTCACTTGGATTTGTTGAGGTTTATCAAAGATTTAAGCATTAATCACACTCTGTGTGTCTGTCTTTATAAAGAAGGAGACTAGGTACCAGCATGACTACAAATGCTATAAAATGTGGAAGAAATGCTTTTGAAGACTTAATAATTTGCATGATTTTTTGAAGAAGGATATATTTGGCCATTTTGAATTCCATATGCTGTCTCTTTCAGGTCATATATTTCTGTTTTGTAAGGGAGCAGATTCTTCCATATTTCCTAGAGTTAAGGAAGGCAAAATTGACCAAATACGATCCAGAGTTGAACGCAATGCAGTGGTAAGATTCCATCTTATTGATCTGTTCATATGATCAGTGGGGGTAAAAAATAAAAAAAGAAATTAAGTGTTCTGATTTCCTGCTTGATCAGGTAACAGATTTATCTTCCCAGGCACTGAGGTTATTCTGTGCCAAAGTGCGCACAGGCTGTGTGGGTAGCAGTCCGTGTCACTCTTTTATTTGAATCTCTCCTCCCTCTCACCTTCCAAAAGGCAGTTGTAGACAATACGAATGCATAGATATGCACAACTGTGTGTTATACCAGAAGTCATCAATTAGCTTTTTACTATGGCATTTTCACAACTCTAGTGGTCTAGTGGTTTGAATTAACATTTGAGTGAAAGAAAAGTGAAAAACTTCACCAAAAATTTGATTTCTACTTTCAGTCCCCAGCCTTAGCAATTGTAATTTGCTGCCCTTTATTGTTTTACAAGCTCTTAAAAGGGAAAATCTATTAGAGCATGGTGTAGCAACAAACGTGTTGCTTATGGGGCAACATAGTGATCACCCTTATATTTTTGCTTGCTAAAAATGAGCTGTGAATGGCCTAATCACCTTTAGAAGAAATGCAGACTTGGTTTTACCTAAAAATAGTATTTGGAGTTGAAAAATACTAAATTTTGCTGTGTCCAAAAATATGCAGAACCCACTTCTATGTAATATGACTGATAGTCTTATAAATAGGGTAAAATTTTCTGGCAGCTAGTACTTGAACTGAAAACAAAGTATTATTACAGGTACGTGGAAAAATACCTACAGTGTTAGCTGCCTTTTTTTGACAGGAAATGTCAAAACTCTTTTGTCAAAGTGCTTTGCTAAGCTTTACTATAAAAAACAGCTGTCTGATAATTACAACTGAAGGATGCTTAATGAAACTAAGGGAATATTTTATGGATCATATCCATCCAGTGTCTATCAGGAAAAAAAAATCCAGACCAACAGACATTTCTTCATCCTGGATAATTGGAAATAGGGCCGACTCCTACATACAGGGGCCTCTGAAGGAAAGGAATATACAGGCAACCACCTGGCACCTACCCTTATGAATAGCAACAGTCAGGGAGCTATTTTAATACTTCCTTTTGGATTGGTAATAAGTAACTATACAAAGACCTGCTGGTAAAGTGCCATGGTGTCAGAGGCAATATATTTGAGGTGGCAAAACTTGTGTTATAGCTGCTTTTTATATATATATATATATATATATTTATATATATATATATTTTTTTTTTCACTCATTACACAGTCCAAAAGTCTGATCCAGTCTGAAACACCCACAGCTAAATTCTGTTTTCACTTGACTGAAATGGCATAGTTGAATTTTCACTTTCACCACTCTGGTGTTTTGCCCCTGCCTCAAAATCACTCTGCAGAGCTACTATTTGTATTACTGTTATTTATTCTGATTCATCCTGCTTAATTACACATGTAAGGAGGGAAACATTTACCCTGACTCTCATTTCCCTACTAATCTCATACATCCAGCTGGGTTGCTATTTCTCTTCTGGAAAATTGAGTTTTGTCCCTCAGGTTTTAACTGAGTCCAGGGCAGCACAGAATCAAGTTGACTCATGTTCTAAGCTATAGTATATTATTATGTACTATAGTCACTTCACTATAGAATCATAGAGTGGTTAGGGTTGGAAAGGACTTTAAGATCATCTAGTTCCAACCCCCCTGCCATGGGCAGGGATGCCTTAGCCTAGACCATGCCACCCAAGGCACTGTCCAGCTTGACCTTGAACACCATCAGGGATGGAGCACCCTGTTCCAGTGCCTCACCACCCTCACAGTAAAGAGCTTCTTCCTTATATCTAACCTGAACTTCCCCTGTTCAGACTAAAAAGTCTGAACCCATTACCTCTTGCATTGATGAAGTGAGCAGTGGGACTTTTCATATTAATAGTAAAATCATAGAGTTTTTTTCAACTATTCCATCGTAAACACCAGCAAGAAGTCTACAGAGAGTTTTCTAAGACGCACTTTGTTTCTTTTGATTACATTCTTTAGGAGGGACTGCGAACATTATGTGTTGCATATAAAGAGCTCACAGCAGAAGAATATAGCAAAGTACAGAAGCTGCTTCAGAATGCAAAGTTGGCCCTCCAGGACCGAGAAAAGAAACTGGCAGAAGTGTATGAGAAGATAGAAAGAGATTTTATTTTACTTGGTGCTACAGCTGTTGAAGATCGGTTAGTGCATTTCTTCGTTTCTTATGTTTAGTAATTGTACCAAAGTATGAAGACCGTTTTTGTAACTTTTTTTTTTGAATTAGAGATTTATTTGAAAAAAAAAAAAAAAAACAACAACCCTCTATTTGAGTCAATTCCATACCCTTAGCTTATGAAAGTTACACATGGTAACTTTATAATTTAGTAACCTAGTAACAAAAGTTAAGTGTACAAATACCAGTATATTCAAGCCATTTACATGCAGTGCAGGTAATACCTTATTACACAAATTGTAGTGGAAAGTTTTGGAGGAAGGAACTACAAAATAGGTATTGAGGAAATGAAGAAAGAACCTTTAGGTTAAAAAAAAAAAGAAGAAAAGCTGTTAAAACTAGGAGGTCACTTTAATAACTCAGCAATACCTCATTGTTTGATGTCATTAGCTGAAAGTGCTGAAAGTATTCTAATTGAAGTACTAGTCTGAAGAAGCATCTTTTAGGCTGTATGGATGAAAACCTTGAGCACTTTGAAAGTGTTGAAACTAGTTAGTTATAATGTACTACTCTGCCAGACATTTTTAGATTCACACCTTGGGGAAAATTCTTAGATCTGATAACTTTTATTGATTTTTTTTTTTTATTTTTTTTTATTTTAAATTTGGTTATGGAAGCCTTTCAGTAAGGATCTCTGAATTTCTCATTTCCAAGCAATCTGTCAATGTATGTTGTCAATTGGCTTCCACAGACTACAGGAAAAAGCTGCTGACACTATTGAAGCACTCCAGAAAGCTGGAATTAAAGTTTGGGTTCTGACAGGAGACAAAATGGAGACTGCTGCAGCTACTTGCTATGCTTGCAAACTCTTCCGGAGAAATACACAAATACTTGAGCTAACCACAAAGAAAATTGAGGAACAGAGTTTACACGATGTGCTTTTTGACCTAAGCAAAACTGTCCTAAGACACAGTGGCAGCTTAACCAGGGATACTTTCTCAGGGTAAGGAAAAAGTTGAATTTTCAAGCCAGTAATGGCCTTCTGTGCATTTCATAAACAATGAAATGATTGATTGATTGATCGATTGCCTTAAAAGCAGCAACATACTATGTTTCAGTTTTTTGTTGTTAAAAGTGTGAATTACTGTATGGCAATTAAGTATGTTTGTTCCACATAGGCTTAAGTTTTCACCAGCATGCTACTTTATCTCATTTCCAGTACTGCTTTAACTAAAAGAAAAAAATCACAACTGACATTGTAATTACTTATTTTTCGACTGCAAAAATATTCATTCTTGAAAAAGATGATTGTAAAGCAAAATACTATTTCTAATTTTTAAAAGTGAAGCATGTATGATATATTCCTGTAATTAGAGTCAATATGTGATGTGACTTTCTTAAGACCAAGGTCACAGAGAGCAACAATATATGGCCCTCTTTCTAGGGAAGGTTAAGTGCTACGTTTACAGAGAGGTGACAGGCAGCAGTATAGTACCAAATCTTGTGATGTGCATAAAAATACTTTTAAGTGCCCTGAATTGTAAAGAAATTACTGACTTCTGTGTATTTGAATATCCATGGAAGGATAGGTATCATGTATATGGAATAAGTTAGGAAATGGCATTAAAAAGCAAAAAGCTGGTATAATGTAAAATCTGCCTTATATAGGTAGTAAATTAGGCTACTTACTTGAAATGTTGTAGCTGGTATATATTACTTGCTCTTTTTTCCACTGTAAAAAACTAAAAATTGGATTCCAAAACATTTTTTCATATTAAGATGTTAAGAAAAGAAGTTGCTGGTTCTTCTCGGCATAATGGTACATATTTGATTTTTCTTTTTAATATAGAATCCTCTAGTAATGCATTTTATATGCATTTGTAGTAAGTCTGTAGTAAAGGAACAATAAATTAACAAGCATTTATGATATTATTTTAGCAGTGTTTCTATAACTCTTATCCTTAAGCTTGAAAGTCTGTGGCAGAACATTTTTCTTAGCTGTCCTTACATTTTAAACTCCTTTGGTCTAACAAAGAACACCTTTATATTCAGTTAAACCGTATTTCACTGTTACCTGTACTACATTTAGCTTAAGTCCTACAAGGTCTTACAAGATATGTTTAAATATGTTTGTTTAGCTTTTTGTGCAATGCCCATTTTCTAGACATTGAGACTCCAGAATTTTTTGTCTTTGACTCCAGAGTTGGCGAATTTGCTATCTGTAATAGCAAATTACAACTACAATATATCAAATAGCTATCTGTAATTGCAAATACTATCTGTAATGGCAAGATTCTGCCTGGATGTTCAAATTCAGACTGAAAATCTTTCACTAGAATGTGTCAAATATTCAATACGTTGCCTGAACTTCATAATAATACATTTTGGTTGATGTCGTTACATACTAACAGCGTAAGCCTATTTGTGCAATGGTAACAAAGTGCTGACAATACCTGTGAACTGCTAGTAAATATAGTTTATGGTACTTTATATTATTTGTCAAAAATGGCTTGTGTTGTAGTAGAGAAGATGGAGATGCTTAAAATACACTAATGTTAATAAATATGGTGTTTTCCTCACAAACACTGTTCCTGGTGAAACTGTGTTTGTTGAAAACCCACACACAGTAGTATAATCTTGGAGCACTGAAACTAGAGCACAAATAAACCTCAGTGTATGTTTATACAACACTCATTGCTGAGCTGGAGCCCGGGGCTGCTCTGTAATGTAGGCAAATGCAAGGGTGCTGTGGAATAACTGGTTTGGATGCCACAAAAACCTGCTGTCATAGCGTGGACCATCTTCCCTCATTGTTTGGCATATGTTATTGTGGTAGACTGTGCTTCATGCCACCATGGTTATGCTTCTAGCAGTGCCCAAATTATTACAGGTATACCAGTTATAGATTAATATAGATAATAATATATTGTAATATTATAGGTAATGTATGTAATTACTGTATTTTAAGAATATAATTACAGGTATACCTGTATCAGACTTACCCACCACACTAAACACAAAGGATAGGTACTCTAAAGATAGACAGTGGCCTTGGTTCTTCAGGCCAACAAGTCTCTTTCAGGCATTTCCTTCAGAGCATGGTTTACTTCATTTTCCCTCAGAAAAACAAAAAAAAAGAAGAAAAAAAGAAGTATTTTCCTCATCAAAGCAAATTTTGGAGTGTCAAAGGCCTTTTCCTTTAACCTTTTTTGTTTTTATTATGGAATGTGCCACAAAATTAACTTTATTCCTGCAAATCAGTTTACCTCACTGTAGTTCTCAGAGTCCTTTCAAATAGAACTTTAAAGGTCATTAATTATACACTCATACACACTGGTAGAGTCACTGAGGTATCAGGTTTCTGTCTTTGAACTGGTGAAGCACTGAATATTTTCAATAATCTAGAATTTTAATATGTCATAAATAGCAGGAATTTCCTTTAGAAGTATATTAATTTTGCAGTATTCCATACTCATTATTTTTCATTAATTAATTTTCACAAAATCACTGTTGCCAGATTTTAAACGTGTCTGAGAATTTTACAGTGTCTCTTCGTTTATATTTTATCCCTGAACAGACTTTCAACTGATATGCAAGATTATGGTTTAATTATTGATGGAGCAGCATTATCATTAATAATGAAACCACGACAAGATGGGAGCTCTGGTAACTACAGAGAGCTCTTTCTTGAAATTTGCAGGAACTGCAGTGCAGTGTTATGCTGTCGAATGGCACCTCTACAAAAAGCACAGGTTTGTATTTCATTTTGCAGTTGCTTGTTAGCTGTGCACATATGTAAGTATTGAAAGTTAATCCTCTGTATAACTTATGCTGGTAACTTAAAATGTTACCATTCACTTTTGTATTTTCTAAAATGGAAAAGGCAAAAAAAAAAAAATACCAGGAGAGGGAAGAATTTCTCCTGTCAAGCAGTTTAGATAATGGTATGCTAAAAGGGCAGCCAGCTGTGCACCTGAATTTGATATATGTACATATTGTGCAAATTTTATGGTTGGCACATGCTGATAAGGAACGTATTTAATGAACTGACCTAATTACTTCCTTTTTAACCTAACAAGCTTTGAATAGTCTGCTACCTGTTGATGCTACAAGAGCCTGCATTATTACTGTAGAGTGATACTTCTTTATTTTTAAGTGGTAAGCCAAGAAAAAAGAATCCAGACAGAAAAATGTGTGCATTATCATTTTAAAGTACTTCTTAATTGTTGTATGTTAGTTTGTATCAAGTAAAAACATATGTTTCCATTGCTGAAACATCTCAATATAAGTGAAGAACTTTTAAAGGAAGGAGACATTTATCTTTCTTATATACACTTTTTTATATATACACTTTTTATCTTTCAAACTGTCATGTCTCTTTCTCAGTGCTCAGGTACAGCATATGTAGCCCTTTATTCATTTTAACACGTGTATTTATCCAGCAATTTAACTGTCTGGAAGTCTGTAGTTTTTAGTTGGAACTGATTCAGTACCAAATGAACATAGGTGAACATTTACAGTGGAGGGATTTGAGGTCAAATTTTTGGACAGTTTCTATGTCAACAATATTTAGATATATAGACAGTCTTATTATCTTTTCTTAAATAATAAGAAAAAAACATCAGCACAGTTAAGAAAGCAGAATCTTTCAGTCTTTATTTCAGGATTTCTTTGAAATCGTATTCTTTGTCTCTGGAGCCCTCTTAATTTATTAATGTGCTTACACTGCATTAAGCAACCTCAACACCTTCCATTCTTCTGCCCTTCCTTCCTACTATCTGTATCTCTTAATAGGTTGAAAGTATTTGAAAACTGTTATTTTATATTTGTAACAAATACTTCTAATATGAAGAAACTACTGTGATCTTCATAGTAGTTGCATTGGGTAATATTGGTTTTATGTCCCTTCACGGAATTTCTTATGTAACTGTGTTGGTCATTTTTCATTACTTGTAAGCTTATGCAAAACAAGCAAGCCATAACAGAGAAGAGTTTTTAACACTATTTTTTTCCAGATTGTGAAATTGATTAAGTTATCAAAGGAGCATCCTATTACATTAGCAATTGGTGATGGAGCAAATGATGTCAGTATGATTCTAGAAGCACATGTTGGCATAGGTAAGTGGGCTTTTTAGACTATTAATTCAAGTGAGATGACAAAAAGCATTCACTTCTTAAAAACAGGCAGTCTCAAAGAATCAGCTTATACATTTTGTAGACAACTTTTAGTGAATTTACCCCAGGTAACTACCATGGTGATCTCTTACTAGATGGGTGTCATAGCATTAATATATAATTTTTCAAATAATTGTGTCTTTGAAATAGTTCTTCAGTTGTTAAACAGCTTCATCACTTTTTCTTTTAAAGGAATCATTGGCAAAGAAGGTCGTCAAGCAGCAAGAAACAGTGACTATGCAATACCTAAATTTAAACATTTGAAAAAAATGTTGCTTGTTCATGGGCATTTTTATTATGTTAGGATATCTGAACTTGTGCAATACTTCTTTTATAAGGTAGGAGAATGCTTATTCTAATTACATTAATCTCAAATTTACGTGGTAATATCTATATACACTTTACACTGTCAATTGTACAAAAGGCATTAATTGCATTTAAAAAAAAAAAGAATTCTTACAAATTCCATCACAGACTGTTCTGCTTATTTTCAGTACCTTCTGGGTTCTCTCTACAGTGGCCTTTTAAATTAAGTTGGAAACAGCATTTGAGAACTTGGCTTAGCTCAATGTACGTTAGTTTCTATTTTCATCAGGGTAGTTTATCATGTGCATCCTCCTGTTTAGACAATTTGTTATGTCTAAATGATGGGAAATGATGGAAGATAATAGAAAGGACACTTCAGAAGATAATTCAAGGTCTTGTTGTTTGACCATATGTATACTTAGGAGATGATGATGTACTTAGAAACATTTTAAAATTACTTTGCTGGGAAGCATGTTAACCAGGGTGTCCATGCTTGCTTTACCGGAGTTTGTGTCCTGCCATGCATTGTCCCTTGTTTGCCTTGCCTTGACTGAGCTGTGCTCCTGGGTTGCAAAATACATTGCCCTTGAATTTTGAAACTGTAGCCTTAAGTTTGTTTTCAAAATATTTTAAGTATTTTTCTTAATAGTACTACTGGAAGATGAGAATGTTGATATTTAATGTATGCAGCTCTTTCTACTGTTCGTGCAATACTTACTAGTGTTATAAAACTATGCTATGCACAGCTATATAGCATTGTTCAGTATATAAATTACTGCTTGTATTCCACTTGACGACTGTGTCACTTTGTCTTTCAGAATGTCTGCTTCATTTTTCCTCAGTTTTTATATCAGTTCTTCTGTGGGTTTTCACAACAGGTTAGTTGCGTTTCCCCTCGCTGCCATATTTTCTCTTTGGCTTCTTTTTTTTTTCTTTTTTTTTTCCATCAAGAGAGTTGACTGTTTAACGCTGTGCCTGTTCATCTGACAAAATTTCTAGGTTAGTTTATACATTGTCAAAAGAGCAGCATCTCTTTTGGTTCATGTAATTTTCAGTGGCAGTTGCAGTTACATTTCAGAAATCAATCTTATGAAATGTTGTTAACGCAGTGTTATTTTCAAAGTCAAAGAATACAGGAAACCAAAATTTGGAGCTGCAGTGCAAAGTGGAATGCCTGTGGGAAATGCAGTCTTTCAGGTTTAAGCTTATTGAACATAGATAGAAGGAATCCTGAAAGATAAGTAATCGAACTGGTTGTTAATTTTTAGAATTCAGACCGAAAATGGAAGAATAAACTCATCTTTTCTAGTATGTACAGGTATGCATAGCAAAATTCGGACAAATAGTGGCATTCAATTAGTTGAAAAGAAAAACAAGCCCAGCACATAGAAAGATAGAGGAAAAGTGAACTGCTGCTCACTAGAAATGTGCCATCATTCAGGACAGGATCCAGTATTCTGGTTTCTAAATTTTTTATTTACTTTTCAACCCCTTGCTCTCATCTAATTTGTGGGAGCAAAATCTATCATTTTCTTCTGAATGATGGAGGAAGACCCAAAGGCATGAATGACCAGACTTAGACAAGAGGATTGTTTTCAGGTTTAAATTGTACAAGAGGAAGATTTAATTGGGAGAAAATAGTATTGTTTCTTTAAATTTGTGGGGTGCCTTGCAGTTGAAACAACAGGAGGGGCTGCTACATGGACAAGACTATTAAATCAATCTCTTAGGTGACCTTTTGTCCTCCAGATGAACAGGGTACAAGTGCGTGGTTTTATCTTGCCTGTTTTAGCTGTTCAGGAATATTTGCCTCCTTTCTGAAGGGATACATTTTGTTTTTTAAAAAAAGTTGACTCATTTCAAATCAAGTGCCATGCATTGGATTGTGTTTTAAAATTAAAACTAGCAGATTTAATTCTTTTCCATCTACAGACTTTATACGATACTGCGTATCTAACATTGTACAATATCAGCTTCACTTCCCTTCCTATCCTCTTTTACGGTCTAATGGAGCAACATGTCAGTGCAGACACACTCAAGAGAGAACCTTCGCTGTACAGGTAAAATTCATACATTGTGCCCCAAAGTTGTTTGTTCAATTGTGAGATCTGTCTCTGTTGTAATGGAAGTCCTCAAGATTTCCATACCACAAAGTGGGAGTAGAACGTCAGATAAAGTGCAACAGAAAGGTTGAAGACCATATGTACAGTCTATAAACTACAACAGACACATATATTTTAGTGCTCTTCTTTTTCTTCTGGCTATGGGGAACAGGATTATAAAAAGAGAAAGCATACCATTTCTTCTATATACATGCTTTATTCTGAAAGAGGACAGAGTGGTAGAGTGTTGTACCATAGAATTCTACGAGGTGTCCAACACTGTCCTCTGCATACTGTTGACGTGCTTCTGGGCGCTGAAGTTGCGACTGGTTTAGATTCTTAGCCACTTGCAATATAGTTCTTGCCGTGTAACTGCATGTGGCCACATAAATTAGGAGCAATGCCCAGCTGCAAAACCAGTACATTTCAGATAGTGGCAGCAGAAGATAATCAAAGGAAAAACATTTTTTGAGAGAGATAATACTAGATGCTAAAAGGTTAATCAATTTAATCAATGCAATTATAAGGTTTTAGCTGTGAAATTGAAGAGGAATATAGGATGTTACTGTTGACCCCTTTTTATTTTCTCTTCTACATTTTAAATGTTTCCAGTTTAGAACTGGTCATTCATAAGACCTTTCTGCTTTTTGAAAGCTAGCGAAGGTTATTTGGTCAAAAACATTTTGGTTTTGTTATTGTAACAGTTTATTGCTAAGCTGTTTTGGGCAATGGTGCAGTTGTTCTGGCTAGATGAGGTTATTGTTGGCCAAATACAGTTTTGTGCAATTTATTGGTAATCTGCAGGGAGAACTGACTTCATGTAATCATCAGATAGTCTTTAAAGTACCTACGGTCAAAGTAGTTGTTGGTAGTAAATGTGTCCGTAATTCAGGATTTTCACTTAACTGTGTTCTGGTTTACTCTGATGTGTTTTATGATATATGCCAAGTTGATATATACTTATTCTGTGTGTAGGAGTTAAGGTTGTAATACTAATTTTTTTTTGTGATAAGAAAATGCAAGCTAGCGGACAGTTCTGTTGCTGCCCAATCCCTGTATTGTTTTTGTGGGAAAACAGTCAGGAAATACCATTTGACCTGAAGCTTCAACTGAACTGCAAAATCCTTGCTTTGCATATTCCACATAAAATGAATATTTCGTTACAATATTCTCTATAAAAGCACCCCGTGGGAAATAAAGCAAAGTCTCCAGAGACCTCTAGTGTTTCCATTTAAAATCTACAGTGGATCATCACATGTGCAGCAAGTACTGGAAAACAGAAACCTGTAAAAAGATTGAAAAATAAATGGGAGAGCACAGGGGAATTTACCACACAATTGAAATAAGAATTACAGGTAACAGTTAAAAGGGCTTAGAAGAATTAAAAATACTAAAGAGGAGACATTCAGAAAGGATTTGGATGTGAAGTGGTAGGCACTTGTCATGTGGAAATGTTGTGGGTTTACATGCAATTCTTAATTGGTTTTCCTTCAAAAAACAGTGAGTGACATCATTTGTTTGGGATTTTTGAACATGCTGATAATGAATGTGTATATCTTATTTTACACAGAGATGTTGCCAAGAATGCTTTGCTGCGCTGGCGTGCATTTATTTATTGGACATTCCTAGGAGTGTTTGATGCTGTGGTATTTTTCTTTGGTGCCTATTTATTGTATGACAACACAGTTGTGACCAGCAATGGACAGGTTAGTGTTGGGTTTGATCAGTCAATCAAAGGTAATTTTTTTAATGTTGATGGTGTTATGAACATAGATTTGTTTTCTTCAGTATTTCCAGCACAGATAACTTTTATGAGTTATGGTGAGATAGATAGGTCATCTGTTTAGCAAAGTCTGAAGTATGCAATAGGATATGCTGTGTATCAGTAAATAGGCATAGGACTATATCCAACAGAGATATATATAATAAATTCCAGCTATTCCTTCAGAATTCACATAGTAACTTTTAAGCTTTTATGCTTAACATGCATTTGCTGAATATCTGATTAACATATCAAAAGTCTTGTAGAGTAGTTATAAATGATCATAAAAGAGCTTAAATATAACAAGCTTTTTAATATTTCAATGATTTTTGACATATGGCAGCTTAAAATAATCTTATCTCTACTTGCTTTGCAGTCACATGAATGCAAATTTTAAGAACTTTTGCATTTTATTTATTTTACCCATTGATATTTTGGTCTATTTTATTTGTGTGCTTTTTTTTCTTTTTGCTACTTGCTTCTCTTCCTATCCTCAGCTAATGACAACCAGCACTCACATGGTAAGACTATTGTGGATTTGTCATGATATCCATTTCATCTTTCACTGTTCTTTAATTAAACTGTTAAAGAGCAGTTAAATATTTCCTATAATTATTTTGAAATATCACTTAAATTTATAGATAGAAATGTTTTTTATTGCTACTTTATAAATACTTAGTTTCTATAGAGTATAATGTATATTGAGGTATATTAGGTATGGTGAAGAACCATAAACTTTAAAAAATAAGTAGGCTTTCTGCTTCCTTGCATTTTCTTACTTTGTTCTGTGTTTTTCTGTGGCCTACATTTTGCTGCTGACTCTGCTATAGAAAAATTATTACAGTTTATGCTATAAAGTGCTTGAATAGCTTGAGAAAAGACCCTCAAAGTGAGAGAAAATAAATTGTGCAGAGTTTTGTTACCTGGATGTAATGTACATGTTTGCTAGAAATGCAATGTTCAAATATCAGTGAAGTACTGTGAGGGTGGTGAGGCACTGGCACAGGTTGCCCAGAGAAGCTGTGGCTGCCCTATCCCTGGCAGTGTTCAAGGCCAGGTTGGACAGGGCTTGGAGCAACCTAGTCTAGTGGAAGGTGTCCCTGCCCATGGCAGAGGGGTTGGAACTAGGTGGTCTTTAAGGTCTCTTCCAACCCTAACCTATGATTCTATAAAACAAACTTCTAGTGTGATCGAGAACACGTATTAGAAAGAGCTTTCACAAGGACAGAGTGAATTTCCATTAGGCATAACTGTACACTGGAGCACTTCTTTTCCTGGTACCATTATGTGCTATGTTAGGTATTAAAAATTCTGCATCGGCTTATATTTGCAGTCCTGAAAACTAGACGACTTATACCTATACACGGTTTGTATTGCAAATATTCTGAGTTCCTTCTTGAATTTTATTCTTCTCCTATAGCACACATTCAGTCAAATTCTTGATAAAGCTCTCAAGCCAGACTAGTACCTAATTTGCAAATTGTGAATGTTTATATTTATGACTGGATACCCAAGTTAATATTTGGTGATAAAATGTGTTGTTTGAGATACTCTGACTCGAGTGTCACAGTAGATAAAAAAATTCATTACTCAGCATGCATGCTTGTGTGTGTGTATAAAACTTAAGAGTTGCAGTTTTAGGCTTGAAAATGTTAGTGTTCAGGTATAGCCAGAGATATATAGATGAGTTCATACATGCATGAATGCTAGTTGTTGGTGGTTATTTCCAAGTATTTAAATTATGCTCACATCTGGAAAAAGTCAGTGAAAGATTTGAAAGGTTTATCGCAACAATATGTTACTGTAGAACAGGGCACAGGTTAAAGGGGCTGAAGGTACCACTAATATCATAAATGATATCAGATGATTCAGGTTAAGTTCCAATTTGCTAAAATGGCTGCTAAAGCAAAAATTTTTAGTTCCTCTTTCCCTCCAGAAAGAAACTAATAGTCGTTGTGGCAAAATGGGTAAAAAGTGAAGTCAATATTTAAATTAATTAATTTAAATTAATAGCTGTGTCAGACTGCATACCATTAAGTTTGCTTCCAAACATACTCCCCCACCAGGATGTTTCTCAGCATTCAGAAATTTGTTTGAAACTGTTTTCATGCTGTTGAATGATATTGCTACAATAATGAAGATATGTACTTTTAATGACTGAGTTTTACTTGATAAATGCCTGTCTCAGTCACTTCCTGGTAAATAAATCTAAGATACAAAAGATTTATCTTATATTATTATTAATTGGTGGTACTGCTTTGCGTGAATGGTGTTCCACTTTGAATATGACGTCATTGTTGGTGTTATTAAAACATAGAGACCTGCTACATAAGGAAGGAAAGAAGAGAAGGGACTGTAGAAGTACTTGCAGATTGTAAATGGCATTTCAGTTTACCCGTGTAATAAAATGTATTCCCCATGTGTGGCTTTGTGGTTTTTTTTTTTGATGTTTAGTGAAAAGTGGATTAAATACAATTAAGCTGGGTTCAGATAGGTAGGAGAAACTAAGTTGAAAGGAATAACAGAGTGAGAAATACAAAACAGTAGGAAGGGGGAGAGTTAACTAGAATAATGAACAGAAACATGCAGGATCAACAAATACAGTCACAGGAGGAGGGGAAGAATTGGATAGGCTGGGAGCAGAGCATGGAAAAACATTTCATAAACTAGATGTTAACAGGCATACAAAAGAATGATTCACAGCCTGAAGACGAGTAGCATCTTGAGATATTCAGTGCTGAAAATACATTATGAGCTTTTGTAACTCACATCATCCCATATTGCTCTGCTTGCATTTCTCTGTGCTAGGTTAACAACCTTATGGAGCCTTGTGTGCCTTTCCTGTGACCTTATTTTTAAACTGAACAGGTGGGTAGGTGAAGGGTTGGTTGCAGCCTGATGCTTTCTGTCTAGCCTGACAGAAGCAGAGGAAGGTTGTTTCAGGTTTTTTTATTTAATCTGGCAGCTTTTATTGGAAATACAGACTCATCTGTTCAGTGTGCAGAAAGCTAGACTGACACTAGGTTGTCTGAGAGATGCCAGATATGACATGAGAGTACTGTAAAATTTAACTGCAAACAGTCGGTAAATGACCTAATTTGAAGTTCCTGAACTAGATTCCTGTCCATGCACTGATACTTTTTTTTAGGGCACATAAAATATTGTAGCAATGTCATGACCTATGAAATTATCACATTGCACATCAAAGTAAAAGGTCAAAATGCTGAAGGTTTTCTGCATTTCATCTTATGTTCTCTACACTTGGTCACACATTGTGTAATTTTAGAATACTGAAATGGATACTCAGAAAAATGAATCTTTCAGCCAGTCATATGTTTATTTTTAAAATTATTTGAATATTTTAAAATTACTTTCTGTTCCAAACTGATTGGATTCTCAGCCTAGTTTCCTACAGATTTCTGCCTCATGGCTGGCTGTTCGGAGTTTTTCCTGCAGCAACATTTTTGTGTGATCACTTGCCCATGTGGATCCCCTGCCTTTTAATACTGGGTGAGCTCTTACAGAATGATGTATGTGGGAAGGGACCCCGGAGGTGATCCAATTCAACTTTATGCTTTGGGCAGGACTAATTAAAATCAGGTTGCTCAAGGCATTGTCTAGTCTTCTTCAAGTTTTGAATATCCCTGAGGATAGATTCCACAACCTTCCTGGGCAACCTCTTCCAATATTTGCCTTCATAATGGAAAATCTCCTAAATCCTAAGCAGACTTTTTCTTGTTGCTGAAGAGAGGTTTGTTCCGGTTCTTCATCTCCATAATTGTTCTTCAAATGTTTGTGAGCAGCTACTAGATTGTTCCTTAACTTCTACCAGACACAAGTCCTTCGGCCTCTTCACAGGAGAGCTATATATTGCTAACCACCTTGGCTGCCTGCCAGTTGATCCCTTCATTTATTTTTTTTCACATCGCTCCTGAACTGAGGTGCCCCAAACTGGGCATGGTGTTCCAGGTTCAATCTCACTATAGTCAAGTAGATAGGAATAATAACCTTTCTTCAGTGGTCATGTTCCTCCCAGTACAGCTCAGTTTGCAGCTTTTCTTATGTATAGAGCACAGTATAGTCTTGTATTCAACCTTGCACCCACTGTAACCGCACTACAACTTCCTTTTCAGCAGGGTCAGCCTGTCAGTTCCACCACATGGCATTACTCCTCTGTTGATGCAAAACTTTGCACTTTTCTTGTATGCTCCCATTTTGCCTTTTTGTTCATTGAGAAACATCCTGAGCACCCAGCGAGGTGGTCTTCTGAAATTCCATCTCTTCCTGCAGAAGGGAGCTCAGACATCACAGCAGCTGTCTCTTTCAAAGTCATTCAGCTCTCTTGGGCACCCTTCTCTCTCAGGGGTGCAATACCCTGTGTCAAAGTCTCTTCTCCTAAAATACACTGTCTGAACTCTGTTGCTTACTTTCATAGCATTTCTCTAGATCTTGAACCTGATTGTATCTTAGCTGCTGCAGTCCAAGCAGCCCTCTGTGACCATTTTCACAGACAATTCTTCCTTCCATCAGCATTAATGATAATTTCTGCCACTTGAAAAGCTCAAGTGTTTTTATTTCATGCAGGTGTGGAGAAAATAAACCACAATTCAAAAGTGTTTAATCTTAAAACCTATGTAGAACATCTATATACTTACATGGCTTTAATGGTTAGCACATTCTTTTTGTTCTGTTACTCATCTGTATAACATGCTGTTGAACCTCCAAGAAATTCTGGGGTATCGAGGACCAAGAGAAGGGAGATCAGAGAAAAGGTGGTATCAAAGAAGACTGATGAAATTGCTCCAGTTCATTTGTAAATCTCAGTGATTTATTAGTGCTACACTTGATTTTAATTAGGAAACATAACTGAGCTTCAGATTAAGTGCATCAATTGTGGTTTTTTTCCCGTGTTTGTATGAAATCTGAGGTGTGTACACATAAGAGCAAGAAACTAAAACATTTTGCACTGGGTAGATCATGTAGGATTTCAGTGGTTTTGCCTGACTGTTGAGTTCCTGATACAAAGCAATACATAGCTTTAGGAGGCTTATTTTAGACAATTCATATAGTGGACAATATTACGTATAACTGCTTTGGACTATTTTTTATAGATGTTTGGAAACTGGACCTTTGGAACACTGGTGTTCACTGTGCTTGTATTCACGGTTACATTGAAGGTAAGGTATCCACTGACATTTTCCTAAGGCTTGTTTTCTTATGGCTGCTAACTTATATCAGTTTATCTCTATAACATACATTGTCATATTAATTTAAATACAGATTTTGCTGTTTGTGCTTTCTTAACTGTGCTCAAAACTGAAAAAAGTCTTTTAGCTGATTCTATGTAGAATCATTCTCTTTTTTCAAAGGGTGTAATTTTATTTTATCTCCTGCTGCATATTCTGTTGCTTCTAGATAGTAACAGCACCATATGATCTCACTTGTTTTTTGTCAGCTTGCACTAGATACACACTATTGGACGTGGATAAATCACTTCATGATCTGGGGATCACTGGTATTCTACGTTGTCTTTTCTCTGCTCTGGGGAGGAATTATTTGGTATGAACCCTAATATAAACTGCATTGCAAAAGTTGTGTCAGAAACATGAAAGTTGTTATGTATTTCACCTTTTTGTCCCAAACAGAATTAAATTTAGTGCTTATATACTGCAGAACTCTCAACAGCAATCACATTTTAAGCACACCTGTAACGATAATTAGAGAATGCTCAGCTCTTCTTTCACTGTCTGCTAAAATATTCTTAAAGAAGAATATAAGGATACCAGATGTCAAAGCAGTCCAAGGGTTGCTTCAAGGAGCTGAGGCAAAATCTCACTGAGTAGGTCATGTCTGTGCAGCTTGGTGCTAACCTTCTGGGATTGTCTTGGAGGGAGCTATCTTTAGCAGCCTCAGCTAGAGCCAGGGAGCAGTACTCATGCTGGAGTTGTGTGGATGACCAGGAGACCTGTACTTGTGCTTACTATTTGCGCCCTTTTTTAGCAAGTAGATCTACCATAGATATCTGAGCACCTAATTCTTCTATTGTTGGTCAGAAGCTTTTTAAGAATTAGTATAAGTCTTACATGTAGACAGTTGAAAGTGTTGGGGTTTCTGGTGGGAGGGAGGACAGATCATGGTATTTCCTGCAACCTGGAGGCCAACAAGAAGGTAGTTACCTTTTTTAGATCACTTTTTGAGAAAACAGGGATGAATGAACTCCTGCAGACTGGGAAGTTGAAGTATTTAATCAGTGTCGTAGTTCTTACATTTAACATGGCCAGTCTTTGTGTACTGAAATGTAATATCTATTTAATCTTTTTCCTCCTAGGCCTTTTCTCAATTATCAGAGGATGTATTACGTGTTCATGCAAATGCTGTCTAGTGGTCCTGCGTGGCTGGGTATAATTCTGCTCATAACTGTCAGCCTTCTTCCAGATGTTCTCAAGAAGGTCTTATGCAGACAGTTGTGGCCTACAGCAACAGAAAGAATCCAGGTAAAAATATTTTTCATTGTGAAGTTAGTTTTCTGTATCACAAGTCTCTAATAATTACTCCTAGTTCAAGGTTAGAGATAAGCTTAGAGCAGAGGTTCCCCATCTGTGGTATGTATCACCAGTTCCACATCAGCCACTTCTAAGCGGTATGGTGAAAGTCACTGCCTGTTACTTCCACGGTGGTATTTACCTGAATCCCGGGGCAGCCCCCATGCCTCTGTTCCAGCAACCACAGGGAAATAGCTGATGCAGATGGAGGGAGACAGGTAAATGGTTCAGCACTATTATTATTGAACACATCTAGAGTTTATATACTTAAAATAAATGTGATGAGTATATCGAAAGTTGGTAAGGAATATGTAGTAAACTCATGCCAACATTCATATTGCATGATCTGTGCATACTTTTGTAGCAAATTATTTTATACTTAACTATGCCTGATAAAACCACACATGTATTAAAACTTATTCGTATTTCTTAATTTTTTTTTCTCTTTTATATTTCAACTTACACTTTACCCCTTCTGATAAGTTATTTCTACATAAATGTGCCTTGCTGTGCCAATGGAAAGAGTATTTTAAAATCTGTTGCCTCCTTTCTTCTGATCAGCCCAAAAAGGAGGAACTACTGTGCAAATACAGGCCTGCTCTGCTGAGGCTGAAAAAGAAGCCAGGTTCTGTGGGAAGCATGGTAATATGCTGGGTTCATCAAACCAAATGCAATAGAGTGTGTTACCTGTATTTTTGACCCCAGCAAACTTTCATATATTATATATGTTTAGAAGGTGAAGGACAGTATAGGTATTGAACCTAAAACTTAATGTTACTTCCCTTGCCTTTTTCAGCCCATCAACTGCAGCTTGTAGGTTAAAATAATGAGTTACCAGCAACTCTCTCTGTAGGGATTAGTTAGCATTTTGATGTTTATTTGAGAAGATACTTTGTATTAAGAGGAAAGGAATAAAGGAACTTTACTTTACTTCCAAGGAAAGTAAAATTTTCCCTTTGGCAAAGGTAAAAAATTCTTCTCTCATATCTGCAAAGTAAAACCCCTTGCCATTGTTCTGTATTCCTTGAATGCACAGTTGTGAAAATGCCACACTTTAAGGAAGACAGGAAATAATAAATAGCGGAAAAGCATTCACAGCATTTAGCGTTTTTCTGTTTTGCCATATATTTTGCTCTCTTTTTATGTCTGTGATTTGTGGAAAAAGTTGATCTTAGTATAGGTTCTGTATGCTTAAAAGCGTAATGAGAGAAAATAAGAATGGGTTAATATGAAGAAACAAGCTAGCAAACAAAAGCCCAAGCAAAGGTAGTACAGCATTTCTTACAGATATTGTATATTAATGCTGGAAAATTAATTGATTGTAAAGCAGACTTTGGGCTTAACACTGGCAGTATTCACTTTCTTATATTTAGTAGAAAATCAATGACTTTTAACCAGATATATCCCTTGTGTTTCTTCTTCCCTCTCTGTTTCTTTCTGTCTTCCAATCTGCTTTGTCTAAATAACTGCTGCCTTGCTTTAAACATAAATGATGTGCACGGTTACTTCCTACAATCTCCTGGGAAAATCAGACTAAGCATCAGTGCCTTTCTGTTGAGCAGTCCACCATCTTTATGCTTTCTCAGACTTCAAGCAGTCTAAGTTTCTAATGGAACAAAAGGTGACTTTTTTCTGCCTTTCTGCATGCTTGGCCATTTCATTCAAAGGACAGTGAAAAATTTATCATCAGAAGTTATTTACCATACTCATCTCCATTTCTGACTCACATCAACTATATTTTGAAAAAGAATACTTTTTAGTATAGCTGTTTTCTTCTTGTGTTTATCTCAAAGACTCTATGAATCATTGTCACAGTCTGTCACTATCACTGTCATTTTTGTCACTGTATTTTACATAATGTTTATGCCTCAAGAATCTAGAATGCTTAGATCCCCATTTTAATCATTGGTCTGTCAGTAGGTGAATGCATGTCACATTTGCACTGTGCCTGAGTACATGGAATAGTTGCCACACAAAGAAGGGATAATTCTGATTATGCTGATGTTACCAACGTCATACAGAAAATGTGGTACTAGAAGCCATTTCAGCCATCTTTGGAATATATTAATACATCTGCTGTGCTGTGATAAAAGGAAATGCAACTTTTTTATTCATAAGTTATGTCCAGCATGTGTTCCATTTTATGAAATTTTGTACTTTTTCTAGAAAGAAAGCAGCTCAAGATTCAGAAGTATGTGACAATCAATATAACATAAAAGTAGAAGAAATGCTAGTAAATGTTGGCTTCTCTCTGGTCTGCAAGAAAATAATTTTTACTTAATACTACGAGACTGATGGTTTCCATTGCAGATTTTATATCTTTATTTTTTAACTGGTTAAGATAAAATACACATTTCCTCCTTCTTTCCCCTTTAAAAATGCATAGCCAATAAAAGTGACTGTAATTATGTAAGTCATGGGGAAAGTTCACAAAGTTTTTTCACTATTGAAAATTCTGGCTAAAATTGGCTTTTAAGTGCCTTCAGATTGGTTTGAACTGAGCTTTTAAGTAGTTCATAGGCTTCTAAGTTTTTCTCCTTTCTTGAGTACTTCAGTGTGTGGTGGGTAATAGATAGTTAACCGTTGTTATCATTCAGGGGGTTTTAAACACTCTAGTTACAGTTCTGGGTTTTTTGAGAGAGCTTTTCAGTTACATGTATACACACACACAAAGACATGTATGTGTGTGTGTGCATGTACATATAGGTACATACAGGTCTACGTGTATATATATGTGCATGTATACTTTTATATATATACACACACATGTATGAACTGTTGTATTTCTTGGGCTAAAACATTAATTCTGCAAAAGCTTTGGAGGAATCTGTTGCCTTCTGGTAATTCTGGTCAAAATCTGCTCATTTCTAGTACTGTAGTCCCAGCGATTCTTTGGCTCAATGAAACAAGCTGAATTTTGTGCTTTAACTGGAAACTGTGCAGCTGTGAGGTTTCTTTCAGCCTTTACTTTTAAAAAGCAATAAGGTGTTCTTTAATATATCCAATCTCTATTAATTGATTATATTTCCTTTTTTTTATTCTTCTTTCATTAATAGAAGCAGCTCAGCAGCTCTGTTAGGGAAAATATAAATTCCCTTGAAATTTTCCTCTTTTTATAATTGGCACATCAACTGACAGTGTTTCAGCAATCCCAAATATTTTGTAGCTGCAATACCAGGTGCTTAGATTCTGAGCTGTAAATAACTTCTGTGCTTTCATCCCTTTTTAGGAAATATTTTTCTTTTTCTCTTTGCTTCTCACTGATTGTTTTTTCACTTCACTTTCACTTCAGCCGCAAGATCTGCCCGTTAGCTTCCTTATGAGATCTCTACCCTTTGCTGCACTTGGGGAAACCCAAAGTGGTCCTTTGCCTGGGGAAGCCTCTCTGGGGATTCATTATTCTTATGTTTCTCTTAGAAAACTGGTTCACCAGCAAACTGTTGCCTTCGTCATGTGTTGGACTCCTATTGAAAACAAAGAAACAGATCTTGCCATTGCAATATTTAAATAATATGGGAGAAGGTAGCTTGGTAACTCCCTGCCCTCTCCTCATGGTGAAATGACAAAGCTGTCAGTCAGCCTTCATTAGCACTGGCCCCATCACCTCCCCAGCCAGTTGTACTTGGGAGTAGCAAAGGTGGATGTGTGGTCCTTAATTTGCAATCTACTTGGTTTAGGACAAGGGATAATGGGTTCAAATTTAAACAGGAGAAGTTTAGATTGGATATAAGGAAGAAGTTCTTTACTGTAAGGGTGGTGAGGCACTGGAATGGGTTGCCGAGGGAAGCTGTGAATGCTCCGTCCCTGGTGGTGTTCAAGGCCAGGTTGGACAGAGCCTCGGGCGACATGGCTTAGTGTGAGGTGTCTGTGCCCATGGCAAGGGGTTTGGAACTAGATGATCTTAAGGTCCTTTCCAACCAAGGACAGGTGATTGTCAAAGGGGCAGGACAGCCCATGGTATTTAGTAATGGTACAATTAAGTGCTTTTGAGAGTAATTAAGTATTTTTAACAGAGTTTGAAATGAAGTAGAAACATCTTCAGAGGGGCTCAAATGATAACCTCAGCATCAAGAATCAGAAACCTTGTTTTACACAGGATAACCTTGCAATTTTAAATGTCAGAAAATCCATCACTTCTATGGGACTTTGCTAAAACAGTAACATTTGTACCAAATGGTACAGTTCATTCACATTTCTCTCTTGTATTCAGCAAGAGTCTCACTGTTTTTCCTCATCCTTGCAGAAGAGTATGAGACATAAAACAGCCCTAAATGCACTGGCGAACAGCGATGGGCCACTTCTTGAAGGAAATCTTTCAGCTTCCGAGCCATAATTAGATCAAAACTAGGTAACAGTACTGTACGTGTTGCCAGTTTGGATTAATTTCTCTTGGTGAACTGTGCTATTTACAAATCATACAACTTCCTCCAGAGTTTTTGATGTACTTTATCAATATTGATACAAAATCATTATGTTTTACTTGGAGAGCCTAGTTTTTGTAAGAGATGTTCCATGCCACAGGTAAGATCTTTTTCTCTCAGATGCTTACTCGTGTAAGGAAAAGCAATGAATCAATATACCCATATTAGAGTCTTACAAATACCTTATGTTATGTGTGTAGGTGTTGTGTGACATTTCTTCTATAAGAACTGTGGTCATCATTGCAGACTGTACTCACATTACACTATCATGTAGAATACATGAAGTCAGAAATCTCATACACAAGCAGTTTTTCCATCATCTCTTGTGCTCTTGAATACATATATAGACCAAACACAGACAGTAAAACAGGAAAATAACCATGCAAAAGGAAGCGATTTGTGAACAGGACTTTGGCTCAGTTACAGAGACTGGGGCTGTATGTAGAGCCATGCATTATTGCATCACTGCCTCGGATCAAGAGAGAAGGGTGGTAGTCTTGCCAAATACTTGAGACACCAGCACAGGTAATGAGCTCCTAAATACTCCAGACATTAGGGCAGCAGAATGAAGTTTTCTGCTTTACCTCATCTCCTTGCCACACCATTGATTACCCCAGTGAATACAGGTAAGAAGGTACACTTTTTCATGCAGATACGTTCCTACTTGAATGCCGTGTCTGCTCCAGTCACTTCATGCCCTCCTGACCCGAGAAGCAGCACACAAGGAATGAAATGAATGCATAAAGTTCCAGTATTTGGAGAAGACAGATGCAGTGTAATGTGCTGGTGTGGGCTGTGATGCTTCACAGTAGTTGAGGGGTGCTTTTGGTTTACTTTTAATGATTGCTAGACAAATAGTGGTAGAAAACCCCATCTCTCTTGAGCAGCTTCAGGTATGGCAGATTAAAAGTGCTTGCCGTGGAGCTATGTGTAGAAAAACATTATTTTATTTGTAGAAATACACATAGTAACTAAAATGCCTCACTTTCTAGTTGGAACAATAGGAAAAATAGTTCCCATACAATGTATGAATACTCCTTCCAGCATTTCCAAAACAAAGTCTGCTAATCTGCTGATTATCTGCATTTTTCTGTATTGATGGTGTTTGGTCTGTATGTGTGTTTAAAAGAACCCAGGCCTTACTGTTAGTGAGCAGTTTGGTATAGTTTACTGACTTTTCCAAGAGTACCTGTTGTAAGAGAGTTTTCTGGTTGCTCTTGGCTATTCAAAAGTATTGTTTCAAGCTTGCGATTGATTTTAAAAGTATAATATTAAATCTCAGCCAAACTTCTATAAGCTACATCATTAATATTTTCTTTGTGATTATATTCCTTTTGCTCCTGTGTTGCTGTTAACAGGAAAGGAGGAAGGGGATGATCAAGAATAGAGGATTGACTGGCTTACATAGCATTTATGGAGAGAATGATTGATAACACTGACTTAAATGATCCTATGATTCTATGAAATCATGCTTATAATGCATTGATAGCTTAAATACTATCACATAACCTCCGTGCCTCTATACCTGGAAACTATTTGTGCATTCAGTGCGAAGAGTTAGATAAACTTGTTGGGGGAAGTGCTGTGCTAATTTTCTTTTAGTTCGTGCATGTGTTCTAGGGTGTTGTCATGCAGCTGCGGTGGTACTGTAATCCCAAGTATTTCCTGGCTGATTCTGCCAGAGTGTGGAGTGGTTATGTGGTACAGATAAATTTTAATGGACAATTAGGCCAAGATAGCATAAATTGGCTGTATAGATGCTACATGTAACCGAAGCAAGTCCAAAATCAGATACTGCTTAGAAGTACAAAGCAAGTGCATTAAGCCTCTTGAACCTTTATCTATTGACACTAACTGATTGTAAAGAATTCCATCTCTTTGGAAGTACAGGGCAAAGTACTTGAATCTGTTCTGTCTTAAAATTCCATGTAAAAAGTCCTGACTAAAGACATTCAGAGATAAAAAAAAGATATCCTAGGAGAGATTGCGAAGTGAAATATAAACCTGATTTAAAACAATTCAACTTGGAAGCAATCCTCTGTGTCTTCATCTGTTCTCTGAAGAGCCCATTATCAGGTTTAGAGCTTCTGTGTACAATTACACCTGCTTCTGTAGGTCTTAATATAAAACTAATCATGTTGAAAATGGTTGGTTGCTCAACAGTATGAGGGGTTATAGCTTTGCATGAAACAAATAGCCACAGTGGTGATGTAGTGAAGGGCATTATTATACCAAGGGCACAGTGGCCCTAAGAAAGAACACAATTGTAGACTTCTAGCTCCAAAAACATTTGTTTACTGTGTATATGTTTTTTTCCCTTCAACAGGATGCATCGAGGCACTGTCAGGAGCACATCTCAGAGTTCACACCTCTTGCCTGTCTGAAAAGCCCAAGATACAGGAGCAGTGACTGCAGCAGTTCCCCAGCAAGAAGGTCTAATTCTCATTCTAAAAAAATGATGTTTACGCACTGGAGAGGCATTGATTATTCAGTACTTCCATCTGTCTTTGGCTATTCAAATAGGCATTGCCGTCCCAGTGCAGGCTACCGCTACAGTGGGTCAGGTTTGGAAACGTCCGTATGACAGAACACCAAGTCAAGCCTTTAAAAACTGTTTATTTCTTTTTTCAGGAAACAAACATGTCACAGAAATATATTAAACTATACGTGGCTTTTGCAGTCTGAGGTAGTGTTCAGACAAACAGGATCAAGAGCTAGAAGTATGAACCCTTCCAGGCTAATAGGCCTCTTTTTATGTTTTGAACTACTGGAGCAATGAACAATCTGCACAGTCTGGTACTGTGAGACTGGTAGCACTAAAAATTCTCTTCATCCCGTGTCAAGAATTTTATGCATTTACTGCTTCTGTCATCTTTAGTCATTTTCTTTGTTACTTGAAGTGTATAGTTTCAGTCAGTGACCTACATTTTGAGTTCAACAGGTTTAATTTTCAGCCAGAAACAATGACCTCAGTTATCTCCAATGAAAGTCTCCTAAATCATATTTAACAAGTACTGTTTCTGATTTTCCTCTATCCTTTTTCTTTCTTTGCTCTTTCTGTAGAACAAACTGGTGTTTCCTCTGTGCAAATCTGCTTTCAAGAAACACTCTCTAATGCTCACTTCCTTGTAAGTGGCCAAATCAGGGCTAGGTCTGGTTTTCAGTTAGCTTTCCCCCGTAGAAAGATAGGCAAAACAATCCTTGTGTGAATTATGTACATGCTCTATGAAGTCAAGTTGGCTGTTAGGTAGGTAAATATCAATGTTAGTATCTACTTAAAACCTGAACGTAAGCATTTGGCCTAAAATGTCTTTCCAAATTTGTCAGAGGTGCAGATTACCCAGCATTCCCACGTCCTCTGCCTGTAATTATAAAATAGGCATAGCCAACAGCATTCTATATTAAGCCCTTTTTGACACATTTATTTCTTTAAAGGAAGAAAAGGTTTTTTTCCACATAAGCAACTCTTACTATCTGGAGTCATCCTCTTAATTTTGATGTAAGTTTTTGTCCGTGTATGGTTAAATACTGGCTAATCAGCTTGGTTAGATGTATTACAAAGCACGCAACTGTTAACTTTTGCAGTCGAACCACGAGGTGGCACACGGCAGTTTACGAACGGTTGAACCGTAGTTGTGATAGGAACTCGTTTGACTGCAACGATTCTGTCTAAGTGACTTTAAGAATGACAGCCAACTTGCACTTCTGTTTTCTCTGCTACATTTATGTTACCTGGCACTAATTCAACTATTAGCTGTGTCCTTGTCTTGTTTCGTTAGTCCAGTGTTTTATTTTGGGGTGCAAAAATATCTGAAGGAGTAATCTGATTTCAGTCAATTTCAGCCTGGTGATTAGAATTGGTTCATGACTATAGTCATTATTAGATACCTCTGGGAGGACATTAGCTAGAAATATCTGAAGTCAGAGCTGCAGCCTTTAGTGGAAGACCTGGCCAAGACATTGTTAGTTGTATTTTGAATGGACCAGGGAGGCAGAGAAAAATTTTCCCTTTTGTGTTCTAAAAAAAGAAAACCCAAAACACCAAAACAAATAGCTTACTTACTAATTTACTTTTCAATAAAAGAAAAATCCTACTTACTAGGAAGTGTCGTTCACAATATTCTGGGCGATTTTCGCATTGAACAGTGGGATATTATTAAAATGGCCTGAGACAAACAGAGATTGTAGAGTAAGTCGTGAAATTTTCTGTAAACCAAAGAGAAGAGAATTTTAAGATGTGTAATGGGGAGCACCACAGCTGAAAGTATTTTACCATTTAACATGTAGCAAGCACTTTTAAGTTTCAAAGAATGTCCTCATAGTAGTATCACTTTGAAATACATTATGTGTGTGGGTGCGGGTGTGTGTACATGTACTTCCCATTGCAGACTTGAATGTGGGTCAGTTAGAACCATCCCCTACATAAAACACTGGTGTATATATTTTTAAAGAGTTAATATGGCTATAAATTTTATACCAGTAGCAGTGACAAATTTCTTGTGTGTAGTTAACAAATTATTTGTAATGTATTTTTTAGAAATCTTAAAATTGCCTTTGCACTGAAATATTTTTCATACTGTAGCTATTTATAAATCTGTTTTACGCATACATTTGTTAACACACCATTTCTATTTTTTTTTTTAAGTATATGTTTTGAAGGCTTTTTTTATACCTATGAGTTTTTGGCCACTTCGATTTAGCTTAGCGTGGAGTTGTGGCTGAATGTTAAAATACTAATGAATGTCACACTAGAAATGCAGGTCTGCTGCTCAGTCTCACCCAAGCTATTGATGTTCCGTTGGAGTTTCCGTGGAGAGGAAAGCGCTGTACTTCCAGCGCTGTGCTATTACTGCTGGCTTTTTTACTCTCTGAAGCCTCCTGCTTTTTTACTTATCTGAGTTCCATCTTTTAGCCTTAAATGAGATTTTTTGCTTAATGTTTTTGAAAATGCTGCATTCCTGTTCTGCCTACTAATAAAGCAGTTCATTGCAAACTTCATGTAGCCCTGCACTTCAAAACTACTGACATGAGTCAGGCTGAAACACCTCTATAAGTGGTTGGGAAATTTCAGTTAAGCACATCATTTTGGGGAGGAGAAAGAATGCTTGAATTTAAGTGGCAGTTTCTGCTTTGATTTAGCAATACTTTTACATTGAAAAGTTGGTAGAGTTTGCTTGTTAAAGTAGACCAGTCAGTGAAAAAAAACCCATGCAACATCGACTGGGTTTCACTTGAGGTGCTTTTGCTTCAGTCTTTGTTACTATTGCCACACAGAGTCCACTGCAGCAGCAGGTGTTACCTGGGAGTTCCGTTGTAAATGGATCAGATGATATAAAGATGAAAAAATAGAAGTAGCTCAAACTGTGCTAGAATGTTTTATTATGGCTGAGACCCTGAAAAGAGACAGATTTTTATGTGTTAAAATTAATTAAAAAATTAAAGGGGAAAAGTATAAAAACCTATATAACTTCCTAACTTGCCTTGTTTAAACTGTTGCAGCTTTAACAGCGTAGTGTCTCCATAACTGCTTCTGTAACTGTCTTGAAGCTGGTAAGCGCTAACCAAATGTACGTGACGACTTAGTGTTTCAAGCTTTTTGGCCACTGAAGTTCATATATTCCTACAGTGGCTTGTGGCAAAAGACCTTTTTTGTTTCACCATGAATGATAATTGTTTATTCAGCCACTTAATGTAAAAGCTTCCAGTTTACTTTCTTGCTTGCATTAGCCTGTTTGTCTTGACCCAACTGGCTTGCAAATGTGAAAGGAAACAAAAAATCTGTTAGTGGAGCAACTGCACTACTTTTCTTTTGGAAGCCAGTGGGACCATTGTGCTCATGCTACTGTCTGATAAAAAAGCTTTAATGGAAATTTGTGAAAGTATTATGAAAGTGAAAAGTACGTGATTCTACTTTGCAGACTAATCTAAGAATCCATTTATAGAGCTTTAATTTTTTACCTTCTGAAAACTCACAGAGTTTTAACCGGTGTTGTCTCCAACACACATTCTGTGTTGTGTACACTCTGCATTTTAGATGTCCTTTCATGACCTAATGTAAAGTAGAATCAGTGGAAGCTGCTGTATGGGAGCTGGAGGGTAGTTCTCTGTGCATTAAACATTACAGATGTCTGTAGTCGCCAGCACCAAATACTGACACTTATTTTTAATTGTACAATTATAGGTGCATTTATTTGAAAATAAATTAGTCTTCAAATCAAATGTTTAGATTGTCCTCTACCACCTGGTTTATTTGATTTGAAGAGTCAGTGTGTGAAGACATTACTGTAAAGTTTCTTTTCAGTGCTATTTTTAACATTTATTTCTGTAGATAACCAAATATAACTTGTTTATACTCAGTCACATTTTGGATCCTTATGTAGAATATATGAGCAGGAGACATGAATCTGCTTGCAATAAATACATTCAAGACTGGTTTAAGTTTGCTCTTGAGTAATTAAAATCTAGTATAAATATGAGATGGTTTCATATTAGTCTGTAATAAAAAGTAAGTACATAACAGAAAATGGAATGAGTGTTTGATTCTGTTACTGGCTATGCTTGCAGTCACATTTATTATTAGAGAGTGTATGTAGTTATCTAATAAAACAAGCTAACAAGAAGGGAAATTTAGAGAAAGCTGGAATGTGAGCAGTGCAGGGAGTTATGGCAAAGGAATTGGTGCGAGTCCGGGAGAGCTTTGTTCCTCCTGCACAGACTGGGTAAGTACAAAAGTTATTTCCAGACTAAACCTGCGAGCTACGCATGGGAAGGTCTGTGTTTCCTGATGGTTCTGCTGTGCAGGGAAACCAGAGCTATCTTTCCTTTGGGCTTTGCCATCTGAATTGGTAGCGGTGCTCACAGGCTCGTACAGAAGAGGATGAATGCACAGAAATGCCATCACTTACTTTCATTTGGTATTACAATACTGTGGGATTTTCAGTTGTGTCAAAACCGTTACAGACCTCACTGTGCGTTGACACGGTCAGGCTGAAGGTACCCTCAGCAGCCTCTACAAAGCCACTCAGAGCGGTAGGTGCCTTCCACTTTGAGGCTGTGTAGAATCCTTGGGCACTTTGTATGTTGATCTCGCACTTCCTGTAATGAAGATTTCAGAGGAATGGGTTTGTATGTATTATGAACTCTTTTATCCAGACAATAGAAGCATACCGGGCCCCATCTCCCTTTTGTACATCAAGAAATCTTGTGTTTGTACTGAATGATCTTCCGGAGAAGGTAGTTTGAGGGGAAAAGGTAAATATGGAAGATGTTTTTCTTTTTGTTCATGCAATGAACAAAAAAAAAAAGCATCAATTGCAATTAGATAGAAATACTGAAACTGTTTTTTAAAAGAAAATGTGATGATGCATCTGGATTTCAGGAAGAACACAGTACCAAGAGGAACAGATGATTTTATAAGTAGACAACTATTTTGTGTACAAATATGTTTGTTTAAAAGAAAAAAGGATAGCAAGTCAGTGGTTTCTGAACAGTCTTCTAAATTGAATACCTTATGTTTTCCTTCAGGTCTTTAAATTATGCTCTTTTAGTAAGTTATGTTGTAAAAATAATTGAAAACATTTTACATTACATACATTTATTAAGACCCCATTTTTTCCTGCACTATGTGCAATACTGCTGTATAAGATCTTTCCTGAAAGTTATTTCTATATGAAGTGTGATAGGTTGGGAAGTTTCCTGCGTTTGTTTTCTGCGTATCCCTATTACCTCAGGTGATACTCTGCAGGAATTTAAAAACAGTATTCGACCAAGTTGTTCAAAGCTCCATCCAGCCTGGTCTTCAGCTTCCAGGCCAGCTTGGACATGGAGAAACCTGGTCTAGTGCAAGGTGTCCCTGCCCATGGCAGGGCTGGTGGAGCTAGATGATATTTAAGGTCCCTTCCAACCCAAACCATTCTATGATTCTAGTGAAGCTTTGTTGGTGTCCATTTCCATTACACAGACTTACAGATCTTTTCATTTTAATTTTAATTTCATTCAAATGCTAAATCATAAATTGTAGCCATTCAAAGGCTTCACTTACATGGGGAAGTGATAAGCATGAAGTGATGGGACAGGGATAAAACCAAATACAGCCATTAACTCATTTCATTATGTAGACCAGTTTATCAGATGCCTAATGTCCCCATCTAGGTTGAGATGTGTTTAACAGAGAATTACAGTGTGTGATCAGTTCTACAGTAAATTAATAGCAGCGACTCATATTGCTTTAAGTGTTCATTTTCCATTTAAAGGAGACAAATAGGAGTAATACTCAATTTTAAATCATTAAAAGGTTTGTTGTTGTTTTCCATTATTCATTTTGGTTAAGAAATCTCATGGTGCATTAAGCCTTTAAAAATTACATAGGATGCAGTGTCCTGCTAGGCTCGGAGGCTCCCTGATCAGATTGTATCAGAAGAAAACATCCATTCTCCTTATTTAATGTGGGAAAACCCGATGTGCTGCTTGTTCCTAATAAGGAAAGCAGTGTTAACAGTTGTTCTAAAAGCACATCAACACTTCCTTACATTCAGATTTTAAACATGTCTTGTGAAGATACCTCACACTGAAACATTAACTTAATTTGAAAGATAGATCTTACAATCTAACAAACACTTGAGTTTTAGAAAGGAAGGGAAGCAAGTCCAGGTCCAAGGCTGTTGAAGACCATTGAGTGGTATGCTGACTTTATTTCAGAAAGTACTTCCAGCCGTATGTAAAACAAGGTAAACCTCTAGAGAACATTTTTCTTAACATGAGATTTTACTCCTAAAGCTGACAAATTTATTTGAAATCTTTGTGATTGTACACAATTTGCAGTCCTTTGCTGCCATCTGCACAGAAAATTTGAATTCATGGTATTGCAGCAAAGAGCTTTTAATATGCAGCAATTAAAAAGATTCTATAAATCATAGTACCAGTGCTGGCTAAGTCAGTTGGCCTAAATATAATAATTTATACTATAGGCATTTCAAGAGTATGGGGGGAAGGGAGGTGGGGGGGAAGGGTGTTGAGGTCTCTGATCTTGTTTCCTTGTCGCAAAACTAAGCAAAACATGGCTCCCAGTGTCTCTCACGTAAAACTGAACATCCTGAGTTGGAAGGGACCCACTAGAATCACAGAGTCCAACTCCAGCTGGGGCAACCTAAAAGTTAAGCCATAGATCTAAGAGTTCTCTGAATGCTTCTTGAATGCCAAGAAGCTTGGGGCTGTGACTGCTTCTCTGGGGAGTTTGTTCCAGTGCTTGACCACTGTCTTCACGAGGAACTTTTCCTGATGTCCAGTCTGAACAGCTTTAAGTGTTCTCTTGCACCCTATCATGAGACACCAGAGAGAAGAACCAGCACCTTACTCTGCACTCCCCTTATGAGGTAGTTGTAGGCAGCAATGAGGTTACCCTTCAGGCTCCTCTAAGCTGAACAAAGAGTCCTCAGGCACTCCTCAGAAGTCATCTCCTCCTGTCCTCTCAGCATCTTTGTTGCCCTCCTTTGGACACAATATTTTCACATCCTTTATATATTGTAAGGCGCAAAACTGCAGCCAGGACTTGAAGAGAGGCCACACCAGTGCTGTGCTGTATGCAGTCTGATCGGTACTGCAGAGTTTGAGGGGATTTGGAGAACAGCAACTGCTTCAACCAGCCAGCAGGAAGAACTTCAGAAAAAGCGAGCATACACAGTTAAGGGATGGGGTTAGTTGGGCCACACCTTTGAGTAAGTAAAAAAATGTGCATGTGGAGGGAAAAGAAGAAAAAGCTGGATGAAACAGAATTGTCTACCTAGAGAGCAAGACCAGAGTTTCAAACTTTAATGCCTGCTCAACTCTTGTTCTCCCTGTAGGTCAGGAATGGGATACATACATTTACGTTTCCCCTTTCTTGCCTCCTACCTAGTACCTGAAATGCTGGGGCACCTCCTTTCCCCCAGAAGTCTATTTTAGCACTCCATGCTTCATTATGAAAGGAAGAAACCATTCTTGCCATGTTTGAGCAAAGCAGAGTCCCATATGTGGTAACGAGATACCTCTCTCATATTGTCCTGGAGGAGCATTTAGCAGGCAAACCAGCAGGTCTGAAGCCTTATGGTCACCACCACAATGGTTACTTCCTTGGTTGTTTCTGTGCAAGAAATACTCAAATGTGCAACAAATACTATGAAACACACACGGTGTGAATGTCACGTGGGAGATAATGTCTCATCTTCCTTCTGCACACAGCTCTCTTGCTTTTCCCGGGTCTCTTTCTAAGCAAATTAAGACTCAAAATAAGCTCATCAGTCCTTTTATCTACTAGAATTCAACACGTTTTGGAAATTAACCCTCTCTCTACTGAGTCTGTATAAATGGAGCTGGTTGCTCCAAACAGATACATGGTCTCATGGATTTATTTTTGTTTGTTTGTTTTCCTCATGAAAAGTTGTGATTTGAAAGTGTTGGTGAAAAAAAGAATTTTTAACCCACTGAGTTTATTGCAAACTACCTGTATCTTATGATTTTGCCTTGAGTGACACATTACCTGCCTGACCACTCACATGTTGAGGGTCTCCAGGAAGAATCTTTTTTAAGAGTGATAGTATTTTTAAGACAAAGATTTGAAGGTACTGTAGACAGCGAATGGCTATTTAAATTCTAACACCATCCCCTTCAAATTCTTAGATCTGAAAGTTATATTTCCCTCGTATTGATCTTGTTCTGCATCCACCATGATATATCCTTCAAATAACTTTGGGCAATATGCCACCATCCTGAGCCCACAAATCTTTCCGTCATAACCTATCTGAATAATACTCATGCACTCCACTTTGGCATCTTGCATTTCCCAATGCAGGTCATTAGAACCACCTACCAAACCTTTATTTCCAAATACATATGAACAGCGAAATACAGAAAGTTGAGAGATTATCTTAATTTCTGTGGCAACTAATTTAACTAATTTTCTCATTTGAGAAGTCTCCACCCTTACTCATTGTTTAAGAGCCACTGCTATTTTAGAACAGTAAATTGGTTTCTAGGCGGTACTCATGTTTTTCATGAGGTTAATATTCAACCACCCGATTAACTTTTAACCACTTCAGTTTATGAAGGTTTACATTCCCTTTACATTTCCAAGAGGTGCATGCTTACCAATTCTGATTTGTCATAATTAATTTTATATCCAGGTGTTGAACCAAGATGGTATGTTTGGAATTCTACTGATTTAGGGAGGAAAGTGGATGTTGTGCAAAAAGTGCAGACTACAACTGCCAGGCAGTATAGATCCTGCCATACCTTGTTACTGCTCTGCCTTCTCATCCATAGGTGGACATTACAGTTGTTATATTAAAGCATGTTGACTTGGGAATTAGGGAAGTAATAGAGTAACTAAAACTAAGTTTCACTGATCCACAGTATAGTTCAGGCATCCTCACACGGAACTTCCATTTTGAACATTTTTCTGCAACTCATCTCTTACATTACTGTTTCACAGACATTTCATCTTCTGCCATGTTACATCACTCTTTTCACAGGGCTCATGAGCTGTGAATCC